AACTTTCCCATCCTCTCTTGAAGCCCAATCAAAAGAAAGATAATGCCTCCCGTGATTTGACTTGTGACATTCCTGATGGGGATTCGCCAAACAGACCAAGGAGGGTTACAACCGTGCGAAGCCTTTTCTGGAGCTGTATCTCTTAACCGAGTTGCTCTACCTATTTGTGGACTGGCGCGGTAAAGTACAAAGCAGACTATTTTGAGATTTGAAATTCACGATAGTATCTTAGTCATGATTATCAGCTTTGCCCTTTGTTTTTTACCTCAAAGCATGTTCTACGGTGAGAAGCATCGCCGGACCTTATGCCCCACTACTCATGAAGTTGATGGAGTTCATACAGATTCCAGCTGGCACGGAAGCATTTTTAGTGGTCTTTGACAATGCAAAGAGGTGGACTGAACTATACAAGTGGCCATGCAAGAAGGGGCCAAGGAAGCTACCATACATACAGCAGCAAGGAACCCAGTACTTTTCGCTTCAAGGAAAATACTCTGATAATTGTTCTGCCAGAAAGGTTTGGTGTGTGGGTTGCTGAAGGCATTGACATGTTTGAGGAGGTCAAGGAAGAGGTCAAGATCAACCGAGAGACGAATCTTGACAAGTTGGTTGAAATTGATACCAAGTTTGTTGAAATGCTGCAGGTAAGTGCAACAGTCTGTGCGCCATACCTGAAATTATTGCCACTCATCTATATACCTGTACCTTTGCCTCACTATTCAGAAACGCCATGACGAGGCTATGGCGAAAAACATGACCAAGCTTCGGCAACCTATCAACTGAAATTAGACTCCCAGAAGCGAAAGCGCGAGGCAAAGGAGGCACGAAAGCACAAAAAGAGGAAGAGAGCCAGCACCCTTGATGATTAACAGGGGGCTCCACTGAATATTTTGGGCCTGATACTTCCTGATTTGACCTTTCGGTACAGATCCATCCCTTGTTGCTGTTGTTTTCGGTTGCAGGGTGTCAGCTGGTTATTTTTGCACCCCCACCACTTTCCAAACTGTACATCTTGACCTTTTGGTTGGGACCTTGCCTATTAGTGGTGCTGTTGTGGTTGCACGTGGAATCAATCTGTACAAGGCCCCGTATTTAAGCATGTGTTGGTCATGATATGTTATTTTCCATGACCCGTTCCCACTACGTTTTAAATCCTAATTCTCTCCTAGTATGTTATTATTTCAACTCTATTTTTCTTCTAATTCTGTAGTCTAAGGTTCTTACCATTCTGTATTGCGCACGGCCTGATCTACAACAGAATGGTCCTGATCACGAGGAAGGTCAGCCACTTAGCAATTTGTCTGGCAGTTGGCTTTCTGCCGAAATTACACAGTGCACATGACAAACACCTTCTGAATTGAAGAACGTAGGCAGAAAGCTTGGCTGCCTGACAAGTTGCTAAGTGGCTTGCTTTCGTCCTGATTCTAGATTTCTGTTCTGTGCTGGAATCCAAGCTTCACCTTCTGAATTGGGGGAAAAGGTCCATATTGCTACCTTGGACATAATCCTTTGTAAGACGAGACCATGTCTATGTCAAATTTTGACCTACTACTGTTTGCCCCTTATCTTGACCAAAGGTCATTCGAGGCTTCTTAGACGAACAGTTCAGCAATCTCCTCGTGTGATGCGGCTCTTGGCCTTGTAGACTGATATCATCGATATGTACTTGCAAGCTGTTCAAGTTCCTAAAATGCACGGAGCGTACGTTTGAGCAATAACAGCATCTCCTTTCTGAAACCAGAGTACCAGTTTTGAACCATCAAGCACTGTTACCATCTGTATTGGGCCCCGCCTTCAATTTGCCTTAGCGAGAGATGGAGATGTTTTGCCCTGGAGTAGCGGAAAGTGTGGAGCATATTTGTGCCAAAAATTGCCTTGAAGGCGCGGACAATAAATAGATGGTAAGGAAATCTATTGTTCCCTGGACTCGACTCGACTCACGCCTCTAGCGTGCCAATTCGACGGTTGCCCCACCGGTATGCATACGGGTACCAGGTACGGTACCCGATACCGTTGTTAGAGGTGCAAATCCTGCTACCGCCGTAGATACCGTACGGTATACCTACAACCTCGGAGGTGCAGACCATAGAAATGTGGAAATATTTCGCTGAAGTGTGGATCATACGAGTCTAGTTAGCTAGCTAGCAGAGAAGACGGACAAATTTGCTACCCTTGGGTACCACACACTTTCCCAACAGATGTAACAGAAAATACTCCAACATCCCGTAGAAAATGTCCCATACGCACATATGTAATTTGGGTGAAACTATGTTGTCAGGGTAAAACGAGTGTCCACCCCTCCACGTGTACCCACTCCACGTGTCCGCATCTTCTCGCCCAACACAGCCCAACGGTAAACTTGCGAAGGACAACCAACAAACCGGACTCCCACCCATCGCCCACGAGCCACGAGCAACCACATAACACATAGTAACCATTCTTACCCTGGGTTAGCTAGCCAGCCACTTGACATCGAGAGGAGGAAGCTACGTACCAACATGAGCAGCCTTGACCAAGATGAAATAGCCAAGACATTTGGATTGCTCAAGATCCCCAAGAATCATGCCACAGTTGGCTTTTCGAACATGGTGGTTGCCACCAAACAATATCGATCTCTGTTTGTAAATCGACGGTTGGGTGATGCAGGGTGGTCTGATGTCCAGATCCAAAGCTTCATTTTCCTCTTGTCCACGTTGGATACCAACAACAAGGCCACTACAAGCGGTGGTGGAAGTGTGGAATCACGATGGTGTGGAGTGGGAGAACGAGAAGGTCGCGTCTATTCCAGTTTGGTGGCTCACCGACATTTTGGACTCAGCCACGGCATGGGGCGTTCTGGGGATATTACTGAGCCACAACCCAAAGCCGCCGGATCGAGTGTTTTGGTCAAGCTGGCTCTCCTGTTAGTGCTGGATGTCGTTCGACGTGGTAGTGGATTGAATGGAAAAGCCAAGGGGCCTGCTGCCCACGGGATCTTATTGCCGTTGTGTACCGGCATGACCATGGCGCTGGTACTCAGTTGTATACGAGAAGCCGAAAATGACAATAAAAAAACAATTGTACTCTGGAGTCGCATTGATCAAAAGAGCTGTTTCAAAGCCATTACATCGGCCGGATTGACATGTATAGTGGTCCCTACCAAACTGGACAAGGACTCGGATTCGGTTATCACAGATATGGAAGCCATGGAGGCTGCCATCAAGGAGCACGAGGGAAAAGTTTTGGCCATTATCACAACGACATCCTGTTTTGCACCCCGTGTACCGGATCAGGTGGATAAGGTCGCCACACTTTGTGCCGAACATGGAGTCAACCACATCATCAACAATGCCTATGGACTCCAATGTCCACAAACCTGCAAACTAATCAATCGAGCATGTGTTGTGGGACGGGTAGATGCCATTGTGTCTTCTACAGACAAGAACTTTCTGGTTCCAGTAGGTACGTGGTACATCTTTTCCACATTGTCAGCTTCCGGTTCCAACCATCGGGCATGGAAAACATTTTGTTGTCCCCTCACACTTTTGTGACGTTCTAATTCAGGAGGAGCCCTGGTGTTATCACCACAAAAGGCACTCGTTCAAGGTGTCGGAAAGGTATATGCTGGTAGAGCGTCGTCTTCGCCCATTCTAGATTTATTTATTACGCTCTTGTCCATGGGAATGAATGGATACAAGGGGATACTCGCTAAACGACAAGATATGCTACAAACCTTTCCAACGCGACTGGAACAAGTGGCAACAAAATATGGAGAACGAATCCTAAAATGTCCTACCAATACCATTTCGTTTGGCATTACACTCGACAATCTGGCACTGGCACGAACAGACGACGAAAGAGAGGAGGACTATCTCAAAGCAGTCGCCAAGGACATTTCAGCGTTTGGATCAATGCTCTTTAGTCGATGTGTCAGCGGGACCCGGGTTGTTCCAAGAGCACAGTCCAAAATGATGGGTGGACACGAGTTTGTTGGATTTGGAAGCTCTGTCGAGGGATACCCCCATGCTTACATGACGGCAGCATGTGCCGTTGGATTGACAACCGAGGAACTAGACGAATTCTTTTTACGACTCGACAAGACTCTTCAAGAAAAACACAACAACAAGCAATCCAAAAGATCGTCTTTGTCATAACACGCTGTTAGAGCTAATGCTACTATAGTCTGCTTTGCGTGGAGCTCTTGTTGCTAGTAGAGCTTTTGTTGCTAGTAGGCCACTAGAACAGTGCTAGCACTGAAAAACTCGTGCGCAACTCGTGGTAATCTATCGCACGGTAATTGGAATAAACTTTGCAGAGTCTTGAATTCAGTTATTGTGAAGTGTCTATCATGATTGTAGAATAATGTACTACCGGTATGCTCTGTGGAACAGTGGGGAAAGAGCAACTGGAAGCCTGGTTGGAAGGTTGGGATTGGAACTGTAGCTGCTGCAACGAATGCTACACCCACATACAGAGCACATCTTAAGATTGATCAATTCCCATGAACAAGGACAAACCCGGCATCTTCATGACAAAGGGTACATTCCTGGGCTGCAATCCAGATTCCAGGCAGTCCCAAACGGCACGACCGGACAAGAGCCACGTCCACAGCAGAATGGTAAAGATGTACAGTGTCATGGATAAGCAAAGGCCATGTGGGACTCCCAGAATGAATACAAGCAGACAGGTGCCAACAAAGAGCGTCCAGAGGATGTTGAAAAAGTCTGCCACTGCCTGTGCATGAACGGTTTCGACGTCTTGAACAGTGACGGTGCGGTTGGCGTAGTACAAGCTGTCATTGTCTTGAACGAGCATGTTGAACAGTGTAGTAGTTTCCTTCGGATCAGCCTCTCCACGGGTCACTTCGACCGTGTACCTTCCTTGCACATGCAATGCCGCCACGGCGGCTTGGGCCAGTTGCGAATGACTCATGCCAGGAGCTGTTCCGGTTTTACCAAAGAAATCAAAGGAATCCTCTTGGGAGAGTTCAATGCCCTGCTGTTCGTCATCATAGATTCCATCTTGCTCCAGGCGCCCAGACCGAAGAATGGCATAGTTGAGTGGTGCCGTGACTCGTTGAGTGCAGGTCTGATTGCTAGCAGTGTCATAGTCATCATAACAGCTGCTGTCCACATAGTCTTCTTGCTGCACAGCAATGGACCGCAGAGCATCTTCTCCTTGATAATGACGCGCCGAGGCAAGATCTCCATACCAACTGTTGTAGAGGATGGATCCGATGGAATACGGTTTGCTGACCCATGCGGCACTCATTACCACCATGGATTGGACGGTTCCAACTTGGGCCGCAGCCGCAGCACATTCGGCCACCCCGTGATGATGCACTGCCTGCCAAGACTTTCCATGGCTGGTGGCAGCAAAGAGAATGTGTGTGACCGAATTTAATGCATCGTTGAGAGAACCATCACCAAAGTTGCCCTCGACCATTTCCAAAAAGGACGTGTGATTGTCGTTCTCATCAAACAAGCTTTGAAGTTTCTTCTTGGCTTGTTTGTGACTGTCAGTGACAAAGAGGCGGACACAGAATCCTTGTTCCAGCAGCATTTTGGTGGCCAAACTACCCACACTGCCCGTGGCTCCAGTCACCAAGGCCAGGCCGTGCGGACAGGGATCTTCTTCTTCCTCCTCATCCTCAGTGCTATTGTTGTCTTCATTTGGATATGGGACCATTTCCTCCTCTTCTTCTTCTCCTTCAATCTCGGCTAGAATCTCATCAAAGGTAGGCGAAGGAAACACAACACGTTCCTCTCGTGGGATCAATCTTGGTCGAGAAAGGTGTCCAGGAGGAGCCAGTTTCTTGCCCAATACAATCTTGTAATAGCCTCGTGTCATCGTTGTTGGAATCTGAAGGTAGAGCAGGAACATCCATACCACAACCGACATCCACAATCCTTTGGGAGATGAGCTCAGGGAGTTGACCTTATCCATGGTACTCATGATGAAGAAAACTACAACCGAAAGTTATCTCTAATATTCGAGCTCGTCCTTCTTCTTACTCTTGCTAATTTGGGGAACCTTTCTTGGCCTTTGGAAGTGAGTTTTATAGGCACGAGCGCTACCTACATCCTGAGTAGTAGTTGGGTTTGGGTTTGCATGGCTCGGATGCTCGGATAGCCATAGCAGCCTTTGCCACGGCGCACTGCGGTCATTGGAAGCAACAGTATCTTGTGATGAGACGAACGTCGGAGGACGCGAAAATGAACCGAACGTCGCACACTTTCTCACGAAAGCATTCAAGGACCAACGCAACGACACAAACGCAACAGGCTACTGCTGTTGTTGCAAAGGTCGAGATCGAAGGAGTCAACATGGCGTCCTCCTCGGAAGAGTACGACAATGAGGCCATGGACGAGTGTCCCTTGGACGGGAGCGTCTCGGACAGAGTTGGTTGCATCCTGTCTTATGCAGGATCCGAGACGGACGTTTGGATCAACTACACGGTTCTTGCAATCAACACCATGTTCTGCTGTTGGGTCGTTTCGCAACAGCAGCGTTCGGCCAAGATTGGCTGTCATGTGACATCGTTGGTATTCGTGGTGGCATTTCAAATTGGATTGTGCCTCCAGTTGGGATGTGCGGGAATTTCCATTGTCTGGTGCGCCATGATGTCGTGGGCTTGGAGAGAAGAACAACGACAACAGACGACATCCACAAGGAGCCATTGGGTATGGTCGTGGATTCCCAAAGGACTGACTGCCACGGCGATCATCTACTATGGAATCGTATCACCTGTGATCACGACAGCGGCTCATTTCTGTGCCTTGGCGCTGGGATACTTCCTCTCCTATCTCGAATCATTGTCTCCTTGCTTTGGGAGTGGAGAGGCGCTCTACGATAATGTTTCAAGACCAGCAGTCGAGCCCGATCAATCTCGGGAGCGAATCCTTGACAACGACCATTAATTGCGGTGAATCAACAAACTACTGGTACCAATCCATGACCGTCTATTCCGAAACCATGAATTGTTCGTCCACAATAACAACAACAAAAAAGATCACAACCTGCAGTTTATTTGCAAGAGGAAAGAGGAAGCAATCTACCCAGGCCAGCTAGATTGGCAGGTACGCAAGGCCGCAATGCCTTTTTCGTTTTGTTTGGATGTGGTTTTTTGTGTTTGTCAATTTCAGTTACGGCAATGGGCGCACCGGCTTCTATGCAAGCAGCAGCAACTGGATGATTCCCTTGCGGTTTCCTCTACTATCCAGTCTGTGTCACACGTCCCATCGTTCCATTCTTCTCCACGGGAGTTTGGAATGAAACCAATGGCTGCTCACCCCAAATGCTACCCTGTCCGAGCGGCCTTGGTATTGCCAACAAGAATATGTAATGCTACCTTCCGAAAAGTGGCTCTTGAATAAGGTTTCCAGTGACGATGATGTGGCTAGAGAAGTGACTGGAGCCGCACAATTCATTCGTTCATCTATCTTTGTGTTGTCTGTATCATGTACTGTATGTTTGTTTAAAGTGCTCAAACGTTGGATGGATCTTTTCTCTGACACAGTTTTTCTGTGTGGACTAGCTAGTGTATTCTATTTGACATTGTCGAGACGGAGTGCCCATCTATCAACCGGACATCCACGTTCCAAGCACTGGAGAAATTGTTGTGGCGTCTGGTAAACTCGTGTCCGGGAATGATTGGAAGAAAAACTACCTGAATCACAAACGTGATTGTTCTGTATACGGAGTGGGCCGAAGACACTGCAGATGATCCGCTTACTTCAACAATCGTAACAGTTCTCCTATGAAATGCGGGATTTGCGGCTCACCAAAGTGGCCTGTCGGGTGTCCGGGATAGCTCCTCGTGCTGCTGATTTCATCTTGAGACCCCAGTTGCAAAAATGCCTGAGGATGGCTGCCACTTTCGGGAAAAACTCTGATATATTGAAGTTCTTTGGAAGTTTCTGTAGAAAGAGGTCCTCCCATTGATGCCTACTGCTGCTGCTTCCAAGGCAATCTGCTAGCTTGCCAAAGCGTGTTCGTCTCAAGCTCCAAGCCTGGCCGTGACCATGTCGTTGCCCAAAGGTTTCTCTTTGGGAGCGTCTCCAAGGTAGAGCCGTCGCCCACGGACGTCATAGTATTCTCCATCTTTTGGGTTTGGAAAATATTCAATGCCAAATTGGTCAACGTAATAATTGCCACCATCAACATCGACGTACCAACCGGTAGTATTTTCGTTTGTTTGTTGTCCATTGGGAACGAAATCTGCATACCAACCCCCATCTTTCGGGTCCTGATAATATTCAATACCGTTGGCATCCAAATAGTACGTTGTGCCTTCAGCGTCGACGTAAAATCCAGCCTCGTCCTCCTGCTTGGGCGGAGCAGCGATTGCTGTGTGGTTTGCAGATTGTTGGAAAGGGGTTTGGGCTTCAGTCAACGAATTCTCGCTTGTCTCGGCACCGGAGAAACTCGTAGATCCACGACGACTGCTGGCGTCCTCCAGAGACTGCATCGATCCAACTGATCCATATCTATCGCTAGAATAGCTCATGGACGCACTGTAAGCACTTTCGTGGCCCATAGAGCCTCGCTTCTGCGCAGATCGACGCAGCTCATCAAGCTCTCGCTGCAAAATTAGAAGTTGCGTGTCTTTCTCCACGATGGAACGTCTCATAGCTGCAACTTCACGCGGGTTGATCGTTTCGGCGGTGCTGCTGTCCATATTAATGTTATCCATGCCCGGTGGTTTCTGGTTGTGTCCAACGGAAGCGCTTCGCCCCGGCTGGCCGTGGTCTTTCCGCCCTTCCTGCCGGGCATGTTCCATGGAGAAACGCTTCATCGTGTGTCCCATCGAAGCGCTACGTTCCGGCTTGTTCAACTCCATTGAGCTCCTGCGACCTTCTTGATTGTTGTGTTCTGTGGAAAGGGGCTTGCCAATTTGGTAACCAAGTTTTGCGTCCCCGATTTCCGGTACAGCCGGTTTCAAAATGGAATCATCGGTGTCCTGACGCTCGAACGGACCCAGCAGAGAGTTCTCATTTTTCTTTTTGTTGATATTGCTGGAGCTGCTCTTTTTTACCTTGGACGATCGACTCTTTACAGAGGATCGAGAAGAAAGACTAGAGGCAGAGTCCTGCATGCCGCCAAGGCTGCTGCTCGATGAGAGATTGGCCACCTCGCTTTTGCTCTTTCTGATTGTCTTTTTCTTATCCTTCTTTTTCTTATCGCTCTTTCGTTGCTCCGAGTCAGAGGATCGGCTCGTTTTGATCTTGCCTTTTTTGGTTTCACTCTTTTGTTTGTTCTTTTTGGTTTCACTCTTTCGTTTGCTCTTTTCCGAGTCGCTCGGTGAAGCCTCCTCACTATTGTTATTGTTGTTGTTGATATCATCCGGCCACTCTCCTCCCTCCATTGGCTTCGCCTTTTTGGTACCATTGCTTTTTCGTATTCGTGGGGCAGAGCGTTGCCGTACCGGTTTGGGTCGATCTGACTTGGCTGCTGCGTCGCCGACCGCATCCATGTCTAATTTGAGCTTTTCTTTCTCCTCCTTGGCCGATGATGGATCAACAGGTTGTTTGGGTGGTTTGAGCTTTTCTTTCTCCTCCTTGGCCGATGGAGCAACAGGTTGTTTGGGTGGCTTGTCTCTGGGCGCTTCGGGCTTGTTTTGTTGTGGTTTCGTTTCAGCCGCCTTGGTGGAGCTCTTATTACGCGATGCAGTAGCACTTCGAGTATCACCAAGGGCGGTCCTCCGTTCGCTTCTGCCCGAGATCGAAGAGGACATGGACGAAAATAGAGAAGAAGACGACGAGGATCGCTTGAGTTCCCTGCCATTCTCTTCTGGCCCGGACGCCTTGGCGGTAAAAGTCATGGACGAGAACAGGTTGCGACTCGACAATGATCTCATCATTCCACCAGCGCCGCCACTTTTCCGTTGTAGATTGTTGTTGGCATCACTGCTTCGTTTGGAGGCAGTAAATATATTCAAAGGAGCCGTCACGACCCCCGCTGTCGCTTTTAATCCTTGTGCTGCCACGTTCATACTTCCCGTGGCCACCTGAGCTGCCGCATTCATACTTCCGGTAGCCACTTGTACCGCGCCATACGATGCCACTTGAGCCACCCCCGTCACTCCTCCAATCGCCATATTGGTGGATCCCACCGCCACTTGCTTGACGCCATTGACACTGCCCATGGCAACCTGTCCCATGACATTGATGCTTCCCGTGGCGGTGGCAGTTACGGTTTCAGCCGCTCCCGTGGCGAGTTTTCCGAGTGTGGATTGTTTGACATTTTCCGAGGCTCCCTGCACACTGCCTCTCAAAGACAGCATACTCACTTTCATGTCGGTCATGACGGAGCCTCCTCCCTGAGTTTCAGCTTCTCGCAACTGATTGTTAAAGGCAATTTCTGCCTCTGTGGGTGTATAGGTTGCTTGATTGGTGATTGGGACTCCACTGGGTTTTCGATAAACAGGCGGGGGAATTTCAGAGCGTGGTTTCCGTCGCTTGGTCACGTCAATGGTACATTGAATTCGACCCGAAGCTCGATCCGCACTGCTGGCCGGCACTCCGTACCATCGTGTCCGAGTGTTACGAGGCGAATTGCGATACATGGTGGGTGTCACATTGACTGGCACAATGCCCATGAGATTGTCGACGGCTTCTTCGTCAAAGGCATCTTCATCCCAGTCCACAATCTTGACTTCAAATTGACAGTCGTCACTGACATCTTCCAATGGCAGTTCGACGCTGGTTTCAAACTCCCACTTTGGAGAGAGACAGTATCGAATCGTCTCGGACTTGCCCAACTTGATACAGTCGGGAGCGCCTTCGGCATCTTCCAAACCACGAGGGTAAATTGACACAATGACATACGGATCGCTAGTCGTCCATGCTCCCATCAAATTTCTGTCTTTTGCCACTAATTGGTCTCCTTGAACAACATTCAGTTTGATCTCCAGAGTTTCAATCATTGCGTTTTGCCTTTGTTCTGTGTGTGTGTCCTTCAATGTTTCTGTGAGAGGTCGCTGCCCTTTATCGAGCTACGGTACAGACTGGTCCACGTCAAGTGACTGGAAAAGGGGATTGTTCACTACTCGAGTATTTGGCTGGTAGCTCGAAATCAAGCCCTTGATATAGAAATGAAACTGAAAGCGGAGGTGGGACGTCGACGGCTACGTCGACCCAGTTGCCCAGTGAAGTTTAGCCGGAGAATTCAATGGTCAAATGCGGGATGGACCACTGACTGGATCGCACAGTACAGTATTAATGCGTGGCGCTTCGGGGGAAGTTCAGCTGTTCTCGAGTATTCGGAGAATGACCAAAATTTACTATTATTAAATTAACTATTAATACTAGTACTCATCACTCATCATTATTTGATCAGTATTAGGTAAGGGAGCATTGGGTCTTTTCGTTAGTTATGAAAAATGTCTTCATTTTGTCATCAGACATCAGAATCTGATATTAATAGAAACCAAAGAAGTCTGAAGAACCCATTTGGAGGAGTACTCAGTACGTGACGGCATCACTGATTGGATCTGTGTCCACGCAGGCATCCGCGCTCTTGCTCCGAATGCTGAGCGGTCTGTAACAGCTCATGGCTATATCCGATATCCGGCTGTCCCACTCCTCCCTTCTTTGTTGGTTGTGCAAGGAGTTGCGCTCACTGTGCTTAAGAGTTTAGTAGAAGAAGGGTGGTCATCGGCATTATCGTTCCCACGGTTCTGGTCTGCACCCCAAACGAAACCACAACCTGGTTGCGAGACTAATATTCTTCCCAATCGCCCAAAATATATAGTCAATATTCTCTCTAGTGGCATAGCTAGGACTAACTTTAGAATAGCTAGTTTGGTTTCAGCAAAGAAGTTGCACTTCGAGCTACCTAGCTAGTCACTGACAAACTCTGAGCCGCCCCGCACAAACATGTACGGTATGTATTGTTGGACTGCGTAGCAAAGTCTAAAACTTTAAATCATTGCTGCCAACGAAAAGCTAATTTTCGAACATGTGCCATTGTTCTTTTGGTAAACACTGGACGAGCGCTGGGGCTTGCCACCAAGGCCCCGTGCCCTGCAAACCCATCTGTAACTCTATCCCATGCTCTCCTGTTTTGGCGCAACTGGATACCCCACAAAGATGATTGGTGACATTGCAATCAAAAGAAAGAACGCCAACCTGGTCTAACGTGAGACCCCAGCGGTCCATCATCCATTTTTGGAAATGCTTGATCTTTTTGGATTTCTTCCTCCTGGGATCCTCCGTGCCAAAAGAGACACCACCATACACCCATTCTCCGTGATTGACAGTCACATGGGCATAAGACCAGTCCACATATTTCAAAACCTCTCTTGGTTCTGCAAACAGCTTGATGGCAGCAGTATGAAAGAGTAAATCACCGTACCGTTTTGAGTATATGTAATTGGACTCATCAAATGCCTTTTCGAAGTGTACCACTTCAGGTCGTCGCCACCAGTCAATACGAGTTAGAAAAAAGTTGTTGTAGAAGCCAAATCTTCCCATTTTCTTGCAGTATGATTCAGTCAATGGGCCATGTCTTGGGTTCGTCTGTGTCTTGTTGACATATGAATCCACCCAGCCGGAGAATTCATCCGGTCCAAAATCGGTGGACCCACACTCTCTTACATCCATCCTGTACCCATAGACAGCATCCTGACTGCGAAGGGCATCAAACAAGTTGTACTGGATGGGGGACATAAAGTTGGAGTCGTCATCAAGCCTCATCACATATTCATATCCCATATCAGCTAATACATCCCAGACAGTGACAGCATAGAACCGGATCATATTCCGGTATCCCACAGACCACGGCATTTCAGGACTTTTTGGAGGAACCTGAGCATTGGGAGGAGGACCCCAAGCTCCTTCCGCATGTTTCAAGTTGCAAAGTCTGACATTCATGCCGTCGAGTTTGTTGATTGGTACATCATCCCATGTAAAGTCGCCTTCATGCCACAGCAGGATATCTGCCTTGGAAACCTGTGGGTAGGCTTCTTTCAGAGTAATCAGCGGACCACCAATGTCAACGGAGTGTTCACCGGAGTAGGTGCTATGATTCTTCTGAATCATCATGACAATGGCATCTCCGGATGTCCTTTTGCCACCAATGCAACCTTGAATGTCATGGATTTCTTGTTGGGGTTCTTCTATTGTCTGCTGCGACGTGGAGGACATCAATGTTTTGGCAAACAGATCAAGAGACGGCCTCAACGCCAACATCCAGTTTGCGGCAAACAGAATAATTAGAATTGCGAAGCATTTTCCTGATGTCGACATGTTTGCATGCTCGACGACGAGTTGTTGAAATTGGTTTTGCCTGAATGATCGGGTATTCCACCAGATAGAGCACGATGATGAGCTTTTCAAGCTCTTGCCCTCTCCACATCTTCATGGCGAACAGTTGTTGCCATTTCGTGATCCGGGGCCTCGCTGTAAACTTTCGCGCCTTTTTATCGCCAGAAGCTGGCTGGCGGCCTTCCGCATTTCGTTAGGGATAAGGCTCAACTACGAGAATCTTTTGAAATCCAACTTCGATCTTTGCATAGCGACCGGTTCTCCCATCTCCCACCATGCACCTCCTCACTCAACCAACGCAACACTTGGCGTATTAATACCATACGGTATCACAACAACTCTTGAGGACGGTAATTTTAGAGAATGACAGGACCTCGCTTATCCCTGATCCTCTTGGCGTTGCTGCCGTTGTCGATGTATCATCGGCTTTCCTTGGCAGCCGGTGACACGGTGCACTCTGATCTTCTACTACGGCCAGTGATTGACTTGGATGTGGATACCTTTGCTCCCACTATCCAGTCACAACATACGTGGACTTGTCTTCTTTTTTATGATCGTTTTGTTCAAGACAATAACTTGGACAAACTCATGTCATCTCTACAAGAACGCTTTGCTACCTCCATGGACGTTGGCTTTGCCAAACTCGACATTCGACGCCATTCTGCCTATCGTCAAGCATATGACGAGCAAGAGGAAGAACTACCGCAAATTGAAAACTTTTACAAGGACTTTTTGGAACATGCTACTGACTTGACCACACTGAGCCATGTGTCTTTTTTGAATTGGCCAGGTGATTTGTACTTTCCACCCAAGTTGGTTCTCATGAAAGGCGACAACTACAATGTCTATGCCACCGTTCCCAATATTAACCAGTGGTATGCTCATGTGGAACTACAACTTGATATTGCCACTCAATGGTTGGAAACAGCCTTGCAAGATGTACACGACAATCCAAAGACCATGGCTCAAGTCATGTCGCCGATTCAACGAGAAGTCCAAAGAGCCAAGAACTATCATCGGCATGACATCAATTCCTTTCCAGGGTTGGAAGAATACATGTACCAGTTTCATAAAGAATCTGACAGCACCCAGAACTTGTCGTCGTCGCCACATCGATATCAAAACTGGACCAAGCGGTCGTATAGTGATTCCCTCGCTTGGTTGGAGCAGTTCGCAGTGGTTGTACACAGGTATCTAAGCTGGGTTGATGGATATGAAAATCTATGGGATGAAGAGCGAAGAAAGCGGGAAGATGAACAATGTCAGTTTGGCATTCATTTGGACACCCTCAATCAACAGCTGCGCATGCTAGTGGACAACATGTTTGACAACAAGCAGGACAGAGGACCCAGAAAGAGACGGGTCCCGGTGATTTTGAAGGGATATCTCGATGATTTTATCTTTGGATACGGCCGAAGTCCGACTAGCTTGCGGTGGTACCTGCAGCACGAACTCAAGGACAAGTTGGGCAATACACCCGCCGAGAGACGGGTGGCCCGCAAAATAACGGATCCAAACAGTTTTGAGTTGATAAAGCGGTTGAGACAGTACATGAAAGTGTATGAAGTTATTAGCCTTGACGAGGACACCTACAAAGATGCCTTGGCACGGTTGGTATCCGAGTGGCATAACCTGGTTGGGCAGTTTCATGGGAATCTACAACAGAGCTATCTGCAGTACTTGGAAAAGCAACGAGGCGTTGGCACTTCCAATCATCACAAGACAATACAAGTGCTAGATATGAACGAACCAGGGAACCATGTGTTGCTGACAAACTATACGGCGTTTCATCAAACATACACTCAACCAAGAATACCCGTTCTTTTGGAAAATGTCAACATGACAACCCAACAATACACACTCGAGTATTTGCAAGACGTGTGCGGTGCCATGGATGTCACGAACAATGTCTATCACGAGGCCACAAGTGGTGGTCGATGGGGCGCTCTGGAACGTTTTGAGTTGCCAGATGAGCTATTGAATGATGCACGTCTTGACGGAAGTGACTGGGATTCTGATGGCGCCGATCGAAGCTTGACGCTTCAACAGTACTTGGTCCTGTCGGAGCACCTAGACCATCTTTCTTTGCATGACGTTAGTTTGCCAATGCATTGTGCCCGCATCCTACATGACGAAACACTAAATGATCCAGCACCACTCCAAAAGTTTCGTCTGCCAACCGTGGCAGCAGGCTACGACTTGCTGCAACGACTTCCTCTGTATGGGTCTGCCAGATCCGGGCCCTCACTCTTGATTGAAAAGAAGGGTTCAAAATCCAAACTGAACATTAACCGAGCAGCTACGGGATATTTCATGTACCTCATTAGCGGGCGCAAAAGATGGATGGTGGCCCATCCCAGTGAACGCGTCTTCTTGTATGAAGATCTGAACAATGACGCTGTAGTTTTGCCAGATGTGCTGGCGATGGACATGGACCCAGAAAGGTTTCATCAGATGTATCCACTGCTGAACAGAGTCGAGAACATGTACGAGGTGATACAAGAACCTGGACAATTGATGTACATCCCTCCGAATTCTCCCCATGCAGTAGTCAACCTGGAGGATACCATTGGCGTTGCCCTCAACCTTGTATCTTTGGATGCATTTGCCGATCACCTGCACAATCAGATCCATGCGGACCGGGACTTTGCAGAGGTAGATCTTGCACTCAGATATTGGCTTTTTGATGACGACGCAGAGCTACCCATTGAAAGATCAAGCGACGACTTTTTGTACACCAGCTTTGCACACTATAAGGGCCAATAACAATTCGTCGCAGATGATGTTGCACCCCGAAGATTGACTAGAATATTATTGATTGGTGTTTACATAATCGTCACTGCATACTACGTGACATTTACATGCAGATGCAATGTTTATTCTGGTAGTTCCATGAGACCAAAGAAGAGCTTGTTGCTTTTTCCCCTTTGGCATCCTCCTCACTACCATGCTACACACAATATTTACAACACTGCCTTTCCGACAAGGAAAGAGACACCAGAAACAGCAGCAACAACCATGGTGGAAATGTATCCATACCATGTCCATGGCGCCAATTTGCTCGAGTAGCGTTTGTCAGCATCCCCATCTGCTGCAGCGTAGCACATGGACAGTGTGTATCGTCCAATGGCGTACACTGTCAAGGTGGCCGCGATTGTGATTGGGTAGTGGACAGCTCCCACCATGCTGAGCAAGCATGTCTGGGGGAAGGTTTCAAAGATTTGTTGGTGGGATCGCTGGACGCAATTGAAGGCCAGAGCATTCTTGGAGGTGCCTTGAGCATACAGATTGGGCATGCCGTAGCGCGCCTTGACTTCCTTCTCGCCGTCCTTTTCTGCCAATTCGATGTACTTGTTCCTGGCAGCTCCCACCACCAAAAAGCCGTGAATTAGAATCCAAAAGCTCAGACCAGCCAAAATGACAGGAGTAATACCAAAGGCTTGGGGTAGCCCGGTTGGACCAACTCCGTCCAAACCAATGAGTGTGGATGGTTCATACTTGGACTCCAAGAATGCTCCCGTAAAAGCCGCCGCAAAACTGATGATCATAATGTGAGACATCTTGAAGAATGGAGTAGTTTTTCTGAATTACTTGTTGGTTTTAGAGCCCTCTAGCTTGTGTCGGTGAATTCTTGGACGATGTCGTTTTTGTGAGAGGAGAGGTACATGTAGATCGAGTTGAAGAGGAACAAACGAACAAACATCATTGTACTGTAAGATAGCAAGCAACAGCCACCCAATGCGAGACCCTTCAGTTCACGCCCAATGCGAGAGCATGCTTGCGCACCCGCAACGAAGGTCATCGTTGATCTTCGAAGCCTTAGCTCAATCTTGCCGAAGTTCTTCGAATGTTGAATCTTAAAAACTAAAAACTATCCATGGATGAGTGTCAATCTTGGATGCCGGTACTCACTCTTTCCCTTCGTTTTACCCCAGATACCGAAACCTAAGAACCCATGTGTGGACGCAAGTCCCGAGCAACTTCCGAAATCTCAAATCCTGTTTTCCCTCTCATTTTTGTGGAGGGTGCATTCGAGGTGCGGACCGTACCGCACTAGTGGTACGACTGCAGAAGAACATTCTCGAGGCACCCGATCAATCCAAGTGGCTTGTCAAGTCTTACCATGCCATCCCTGCCCGCCATTTGTTGGGTGTGAAAGCGAGAGTTTCAATGGAACGGGTCCACAGTTTGTCTTTTTGGAACGCATTTGTGGTGGTAATATCGATCCAACAAGATCTACCATGACTACGGCCTCAAGACCACAGTGTACTCTTGGTATTATCCTTGCTCTTGGGATTGGATGGATCTGTGTGAGTAGGGAGCAAGCGCCATGGATTCGAGCGTCGCGGTCCATGAGCGAAAGCAAAGTTTCCCCTGTATCGGCTAGACAAATTGTGGAGAGAGCCTACCACAGATCTTTTGCTACTTTGGAGACATGTTCCACCCATGAGACTTTCCAAGCATGCATACGAGGCAAACAACAAGAATTGTATCAAAAATCATCTTCATCTTCCTCGTGGCCGTGGTGGTTCCATACCATGATACGGGATGCCATTCCGGCCAACAATCCCACACCAGAACTGTTTGGTCCATGGCACAACTTATCGATTGTATCACCGCGATTGGATATGTGTGTGATTGAAAAGATTGGATCCAAACATTGGCGTTTGGTGCAGTGTCTCATGAATCGACCTAATCAGACGATGGACGACCTGGTCAGGGGTTTGCCGTGCCCAGAAGATGCTGTCATTGCGAACTCATCCGAAATGGTATCGTCCACTGTCTTTCTGAGAGATCCGCTGGAACGATTTCTGTCGGCGTATTTGGACAAGTGCGTAGTGGCCCGAGAAATCGATACGCATTGCCAACCAATGGAGGTCTTTCAAAGAAGCAATCGGCTAGTGGAGGGGATCATCGACAATAAGCGGCACTTCTTTGAAGCGTACGTGGATACAATGCCACTCAAGTGGAATCTTCACTTCTTTCCGCAGAGCTTCTACTGTGATGGGCTCTTTCGACACATTCAAAACTATGACTTTGTGGGCCAAATGGGACAAAACTTCTACAATGACTTGGACAGACTGTCTCAGCAATTTCCACATGGGCGGTTCGGAGCAATACTCGATGGCATTTTCGAGCTCGAAAAGAACCTAGCTACCTCTGCAGGAAATATAGGCGTAGAGACTTCCGCTTCGTCTCATGTTCGAGAATACTACACACCAGCAACCTTGCGGAGAGTGTTGGAGTACACAGCAATTGACTACATGCTCCTGAACATAACTATACCAGAGTGGGCACAGCAAATGTTGAATGATGAAGTGTAGAAAGCTGGTCAAGACGTGCTTATTTGGTGATCAAAACACAGGGGAGCAAAGCTATGTGGCTGCAGGCGTTGCATCTTTCTGTTTCATGATTTCTTGAATAAAGAGCCAAGCTATAAACACTATGAAAGAGCTCACCCTTGGGAAGCAACCTAAGAACTCTTATCAGAAAGGAGAAAGATCAAAGCATCAACTCTCTAAGGTTATAGCGCTGTGTCTCAGTCTACCAAACTGCTAGATAGCTATTCCCGTGTAACATGCATGCCAGGCTACTGGTACTGACTGTACTGTAACAACAAACTGGCTAACTAATTCATCAACCGAGGAATCATGTTGACCTTGGGAGATTTGGAGAACCACAGAAAATCAGCCACTTTGGCTTGCAAATCAATCGTTTCTGGTCCGGTCCCAATCTCCAATCTCAAATAATTGGTCTTGCTCAATGTTTCGAGGGCAGTGGGATTGCATAGAATGGTGGTGACAGCATTGGGAGTAACCTTATTGAGTCCCAGTGCATTGGAAACTCGTGGCAATCGTCCATTAATGCCACCGACCAAAAACCGGACATCGGGAATAGGTGCCAAGAGTGCCACCAACGGAGTGGTCGAGGTGGTGGTACTATGCGCATTGGCGTATTGTGCGCAGACGGTGGCAGCAGCCTCGTGGACGAGGATGCGCTGCGCAAAGAAATCTCCTTCCTTGACTCCGTCGGGCAAATCTTTAAACATGGATCGGTCCGTGTACATTTTGAATTGTGGTTGTTGTGTCATGCCAATAAACCCGGGTGCATCCGCCACGTATTGAGCCCGTCGGTCTGGGTTCACTTGTTGCAATCCCTGGGAGATTGCGGTTTGAAGATCGGCCGGTTCGGGACTGAGTGCCAACGTGTCCATATTGGCCGCTGCCAGTGATTCCAAAAGTGGTCGATAGAGACTCAGCGTGGCTTGGTCCACTCCAGCCTGTGTCATGGTTGTACTGAAAGCCTCATAATCCTTGTTGGTTGTGTATTGATCTAGTGCTGCTTGCGTACTGATAGGTGCCCAGTGCAATCCCACTGCCATGTTTTTGCCGGCACGGGCTTGCATGACCGTGGACAGCAGACTGGAAGCCAATGTCAAATCTTCGGGGGTTGCTTGCTTGGGAACTCCGAGACAGAGATAGGAAGCATATCCCAATCCAGTTTTGCTGTCGTCAGATTCGAGTTGGGATTTGATATAACTAGCCGTGCCAAAGACTGCCTTGTTGAGCATATTGTTGAGATTGATGGTATCTACCACAATGGCTTCCTTGTCAGTTCCACTGCCCGTTGCTATTTCCTTTAATACTTGAGTTTGCTCTCGAGCAGAAGATATGGATAAGAGAGTAGGTGGACATGTCGAGTCGACACGATACGCTGTTGGTCGCTTTGCGGGACGATAGACACTGTCATCGGCCATTGCCACGGAGGATGGTATCAAAGAAGCAGCAGCCAGAGACGAAGACCCGATCAGAAATTGCCGTCGCTTGGACAGACTACTTGGGAGTCTATCTTCATCGTCTTTATCTTTGTGTTCTGAGGCTCCATGGTCTTGTTCTGGGAGTTTTTGGCTCTGCAGCAGGACTGATGGATCAGATCCAGTGGTCCTCACAGAACTTCCACCAAGTTTGTGCTGGATGGAAAAGCCAGAGGACTCGGGTATCATCCAAGCGACGAGGCATAGGTAAAGCACCGCTGGAAATCTCATGGTGCACAAATACTTGACGTCTCTTCAAGCAAGCTACTGCAGCAACCTCCGATCTACCAAAATGGCATGGTAGCCCTTCAAGATCGATGTGTTGGCGGTTGGTGTCAACCAAAAGGGCGAAAAAATGAGATGAGGAGAGGACGCGTGGAACCCCGAAGTGGAGGGATTGGTACCGTAGGGCTCAGGCTCTCTGAAAGGAGTGTGTGTGCTGCTTTTTCAGTCTCTGTACAAATGTACCGTCCAAGTAGCTTAGACAGATCTGCAGTACATTTTCTACGCTGAAATGGAGAGCATCGTTCACTTTCTTCGAACACATTCTTGGGGAGCAAAGGTTAAGTAAAAATGTTCGTACCAGTCATGTAGAATTCAACGTCTGTGAAGATTTTACTGTAGCAAAATTAGTAGAACATCTTTGAAGTGGGATGGAATCGAGACCTTCGCGCGCTTCTAAACTGGAAAACGCTAATAGCGACTTTGAGCACAATCTGGAATCTGTCTCACAAATCCAAACCAAGCACAAACAACAAACAAACAAACAAGCAACTACAAACATGAAACTCGCCTTTGCCACTTTCCTCCTCACTGCCGCCAAGGCCAATGCCTTTGCTGTCAGCCCCCCTGGAGGTGCGGGGGCGTCGTCCACTTCCACCAGCCTTCCAGCGACAATGAAGGCGTTTGTCCTACACGAAGCCGGACCAGCATCGAATCTCAAGCTGGAAGACGTTCCAGTGCCCACTGATATCGGTGATGATGAAGTATTGATAGCTACAAAAGCTATATCCATCAATCCAGGTAGGTACCTATCAGACCGTGTGATGGAATGTAATGGATCGAAAAAAATGCATCTTCCTTTGCCTCCAACTAACTTTTGTGATCTGCTGCCAACCTCGCCCATTTCATGATTAATTTTACAGTGGACTACAAATGCCGTCAAATGGACCCTGTGCTGACCATGGTCCTAAAAACGGAAGAACGCCCCGTTATCTTGGGATGGGACGTGGCCGGCATCGTAGAAAAGGTCGGAAGCAAGGTGGATTCTCACAAAAAAGGCGACAAAGTTTTTGGAATGGTACAGTTTGTAGGCCACGGCAAGGGGTATGCCGAATATGTTGTGGCTCCAGCGTCTCATGTAGTCACCATGGCATCCAACCAAAGTTTCCAAGAAGCAGCGGCAACAACGTTGGCCGCCTTGACGCCACTGCAAGCCATGGAATCACGTGTCAAGGCAGGGGACACTGTCTTGATTCATGCCGGATCGGGTGGCACGGGCCACTTTGCTATCCAAGTTGCCAAGGCATTGGGCGCTGGAAAGGTAATCACCACCAGCTCCGCCAAGAACAAAGATTTTTGCATGAAAATGGGCGCTGATGAGCACATTGACTATCGAGCAGTCAAGTTTGAGGAAGTCGCCAAGGACGTGGACTTTGTGCTAGATGGAATGGGAGGTGAAACCTTGGAGCGAAGTCTGAAAGTGCTAAAGGAAGGCAGTGGCAAGGTTGTATCGTTGCCCACCCCGGATTTCCCAGAGAGTGTGACAAACTATGCCAAAGAACACGGCTTGACTGTGGAATTCATCATGGTTCAGTCAGGTTCCAAGGACATGACAACACTACGCGACATGACCGAAAAGGGACAACTCAAAGCCCATGTCAGCCAAACCTTGCCCTTTGAAGAAATGCCCAAAGCACACGAACAGCTGGAGACGGGACGAACTGTTGGCAAGATTGTCTTGGTAAAGGAATAGATACTTTTGGTTGCTAAGTTAGCAGCGGATTGCTTGACCTTCTAGAAACCAAGGAGTGCATAGCTAGGTACGGTAGATGGCGACGTCTGGAAGCAAGCATGGTTGGCCCTACCGCACATCATCGACTATGAAATATACGTGTATGTGTAAATCTAAAGTATACCAGCGACATGCATCCGGGTAGCTGGATAGTTTACGCATTGTGTACATGCCGTTCCGATCTTCTACTCCCCGCAAGTTCCCACCTCAGATTGTCGCCACTTCTTTAGACGTATGGGCAGGGTACGGTAGCGAATACTAGTAGTTTGTAGCTAGCTAGTAATTCTATCTATGGAAGAGCATGTATGTGTACTTCCCTTTGATGTACCTGCCAGAATCGAGACCTCAAGGTAGAATGATCGGGGACAGACACAGGCACATTATGCAGCAGAACTCAGTTCCAAAATTCCTCAATCCTCACAATTTCATTTTTCCGATTCCTCACAATTCCAATTCCAACAATTCCAATTTTCGAAATTTTGATTTCTCAAAATTCCAATTTTCAACTTAGTGATTCCTCACAATTCCAATTATTTTCGATTTCTCACAATTCAAAATATTTTCGATTTCTCGCAATAAGATTTTTCCGAACTTCTCACAATTTCAACTTTTCCCTGATTTCTCACAATTGAATTTTAATGATTCCTCACAATTCAATTTTTATTGATTCCTCACAATTCGAACTTTTCCTGATTTCTCACATTTCGAACTTTCTCGATTCCTCACAATTCAAATTTTCCCGATTTCTCACAATTCTATTTTTTACTTTTCTGTTTTCTCACAATTTCAACTTTACCACTTTTCCGTTTTCTCACAATTTCAAATTTACCGATTCCTCACAATTTCAATTTTTACCGATTTCTCACAATTCATATTTTGAATTTTCTGGTTTCTGACAATTTCAACTTTGCGGATTCCTCACAATTTCAATTCTACCTGATTATTTCTCACAATTTCAATTTTACTGATTCCTCACAATTCAAATTTTAAATTTCCGAATCCTCACAATTCCATTTTTCAATTTTCCGCTTTCTCACAATTCCAATTTTCAGATTCCTCACAATTTCAATTTTGACCGTATCTTTCATTGGCGTGGCCACCGGAACAATGTGTCACTGCCCATTTGCCCAAATCCTGAAGATCCGCCATGTGCCGTAACAGGCCTCACACAATCTTTATGAAGATGATGACAGTGTTGGCCAGCCTCTTTGTAGCTCTCTTTGTAGCTGCATCAGTGGTAACGGCTCGGGATCTAGATGTCATTCCAGAACTGGGAGTTTACAACTTTGCCTCGGAAATCCAAAAGAACATTTGGACTTGTGTACTCTTTTATGATCCACAAGATGAATTCAACTTTGCAGACGGGGAGATTCTAATGGAGACTCTCGCCAGAGTCTTTGCCGGTGTGGATCGTGTGGGGTTTGCCATGTTGGACATCCGAGCTCATCCGACCTACCGAACTCAGTACAAGTTTCCCGATGATCCACATCCTTTTATATACCATTTCTACAGCCATTTTCCAAAGGTGGATCCTGACGACGAATACATGCGTGTGAGTTCCAGGACGTGGATGAACTTGAAGGGAGACTTGTACTGGCCCTCTCGGTTGGCGCTGTTTGCCAAGGACTACAATGTCTACGGCGAACTAGATTTGGACTTTAACGGTGAAGTCGAAGCCAAAGGGGGCATTTTGACTCACTGGATTGCGAGTACGGTGTTCAAGGAACCAGAGTGGTTGCATGTTCTTTTGGAATCGCAAATACACAAGGAACAGAAAAAAGCCAAACGAGCCAAGCGAATGGACAATACGTTTGCATTTGATAACTATTTTCGAGAACAGAAAGAACATGAAGTAGAAGAACAAACGAATGCTACCACAAGCAGCTCAAACAGTCGCTTCTTGCTGGAAAGTGGATCCGACATGGATGCGTCAACCGTTGCAAATAATACGGAGGAATATTACAAGCACGAGCCCATTACCGTCAACGATGGAAGCAACAGTGTACACTTCTTGTTTCTCTTGTCGTGTGTCATTGAAAAGTATCTGATCGCTGTCGAGGGATACGAAAGCCTCTGGGACGATGACCGCAAAGCCAGGGAAAATGAACAGACCAACTTTGGACAGTATTATGACGCCATGGAGAACAAACTCAAAAGCCTCTTGGACAGAATCTTTACAGACCCAGACTACCAGCCACCTGCACGCATGGAAGACAATACTACAGACATGGACCAAGAAACACAACAACGACGCCATCAAGTTCCGATTGCACTAAACCAATACTTGGACGAAATGGTGTTTGGATATGCGCGAAATCCAACCAAATTGCAAGAGTATTTGAACTACATCTCAGATACTTTGGGCCCCACTCCAGAGGCTCGTCGAAAGGCTCGAACGGACCCCCCTAGCATTGCCATGTTTGATCGAATGAGAGAGTACATGAAACTTGTAGAACAAGTTTCCAGAGAAGAGGATCGATATGTCAATGTCTTGGCCGATCTGACCTCGCAATGGTACAATCTGCTGGTAGAATTACAAGACAACCTGCAGCATTACTATGTCAATGTGTATCTGCCCAAGAATCCTCGTCCATTGGGCAACAACTTTACCCGTCAATCCATGGATGTCATTGATATGGAAGATCCTGCCAATGCCAAGCTGCTATCAGACTATGATGAATTCAGCAAACGTTATACGGTGCCGGCGACGCCCGTCATTCTTTCCAATGTGAACATGACAGACGAAGTCTACTCCATTGAATACCTCCTGGAACAGTGCGGTTCCATGGACGTCACCAAGGCTATCCAAGTCAGCAATCCGGTAGGAAAGAAGAGCACCGATAATTGGGGTGGATTGGAAAATTTCGTTTTGGATGACGATTTGGCTACTCAAAACAGAAAAGAAACTATTGAGCTTGAAGATGGAGACGAGGTGGATGTGGTGCAGCGAGATATTACCTTGCAGCAGTATGTCACGCTCTCTGACAAACTGGGGAACCTCTACTCGCACGATATGAGTTTGCCGGATGACTGCGACAGCATTCTCTATGAGGATACGTTGTATGGAGGTCGTTCCAAGTTTCGACTACCGCATGTAGTCGCCGGGTACGATCTCTTTCATCGTGTGACTCTGTACGGCTATGCCCGGACTTGGCCGTCACTATTCATTGGCAAAAAAGGCTCTAACAGCAAGGTTCATGTGGACAGTGGAGCGTCGGGGTTTTTCATGTACCTGGTATCAGGGAGGAAGCGGTGGGTGGTCTATCATCCATCTGAACGGCCATTCTTGTATGATCGAATCAACCTTAGCGCGTTTGTTCCAGATGTTCTTGGCATGGACAAGTCCGAACTAGCCAATGAAGTTCTGAGCAAGCGCTTCCCGCTTTTGCATCGAGCAGAAAAGGCTTACGAAATCATCCAAGAGCCAGGGCAACTAGTCTACATCCCACCCAGTTGCCCTCATGCGGTTGAAAACTTGGATGACATTGTCGGAGTTGCCTTGAACATGGCACCGCGAGATGGCCTGGCAAGTCACGTTCACAATCAAATACATGATGACCGCTACTTTGGTTTCACTGAGCTTGCTTTGAAGTACTGGTTGTTTGAAGACAATGCTAGAAAGCCCATTGCTACGAAAGATCCCCTCTATGCGACCTTTGCGGAATACAAAGCCCAATACTAGTGTCAGTACGTACGAGAACTTTGCATTGTGGTGCTTGAAAGTTTTGGGAAACGGGTAAAGCCAGGCTGTGGCAGCTGTTGTGGCTGGTAGCATTGGAACTTTTACAAATACTCTGTTTCTAAAAGCTTTCTTACCACGCCTATCCTAATGGTTCAGTTTCTCATGATAGTCTTTCGGTGCAAAGAGCTTGCGCAGGTTACCCAGTCACGGAAAGAGAGGCCTTCATCTTCCTCCACAGCATCTTCATTACTATCGACAGTAGAGTTGCTGCTAGAGGAGAGATCGTGCGTACTAATCCCATCAAGGAACGCTTCTTTCCTCATCCTCCTTTCCCTGTAGTTTTGTTGTGAACAGATGTAGTCTTCCATTGCAAAATGGGTCAAACTGTCAAGGTTGTTGTTTAGTTTGGCAAGTTCTACTTGCAGCTTTTTAGTCTCTCTCTTGGCATACTTCTGCAGATCCATGAAGTTGTCCTTGAGCTTCTCAGTACGAAGAAATAGAGCTTCACGTGATTCAGCCTCATGCTTAAACTGTTCTTCGAAAGCGCTTTGTTTCGCCAGCATCTGTGTCACCGTTGCGCAAAGCTCACTGATCTTTTCCCGAAGCAGACCATCCTGTTCAGATTGTCCTTCCTGCTTTGCCTCGCAAACCTGTACATTCTTGCCATAAATAATGTTTGCCAATGGGAGAAACCTTCCAAATAGGTATCTGGTACCCTGCATCACTAGTTGCAAAGCAAAGGCAAACCATGCTCCAATAGTGTCACGAAGTGCGAGTTGTAGCTTCATCGTAGCAAGAAAGGAAGGTTGGCTCTCTCGGTTCTCGGACTCCTCCAAATGAAATGGTGTATTGTGAACAATGGAACAGCGCAGCCCAGTCGATCTGAGTTGTGAATCGAGTCTTCCTGTTTACTACATTCGCCGAAGTTGTTGGCAACTAACAATCAAGGTTTTCATGAGCACAATGTAGCAACGGATACTGGGGCTTCCTTGATTGAGTGAAGATCTCTATGCTACCGGGACGCCGCAAAACGATGTGGTGGTGGGCGTGGCGAGGAAGATTGCTCGCTGTGGATGATTGCGAGGAGCCCTTTTTAAAACTCCAGTACATGTAGCTATGCATACTAGCTAGCTAGCAAGCTCTATCTAGGCACGATGTACTAAATTTTTTTTGCCAGAGAGCACGGTGGGCTACCCGACTGTGGCCACAGTGCACATACAGTAGAAGGAAACTCACGAAAGACTTCACATCCCTCTAGACCTTGCAACCAAACCTTGCAACTGCCATCTAGGACCAAACCAACATTGCTCATATGACATATGTTCCGACACTGCCTGCCTGATAGTGTAGGAAAGAATGCACCACATGCAGAAAGAAAACTACAGCAGCCCCCAACCCCAACAAATCGGAACAACTGCTATGGCATGGCACTCCTATGATGGCAAAGTACTCACTACGGCGCGAAAAAGTCAACCCGGCTCTCCAATACAAGGCAACCCTTTCAGTGCAGTCAAGACACAGACCCTCAACTGCAGCCCTGGCAATAGAGAATGACTTGAAATCCTGAAAGCCTCGAGAGAGAAACCCACAACCACTCAACAACTCATGCAATGATATCTTCAGTGCCTGGAGCCGGAGGAATAAGGCCAGTTTCATAGGTACATTGGAAAAGATAGCCCAGCACACTCTCTTCAACAAGGCAGAGCACATGATTGGTGGTGAATCATGGCTCGGACCTCAGCGTACCAACCTTTGCTTAGACAGCTAATAGGTGTCGCACCCCCTCAGGGCTATTAATAGTGTGGCCGGTGAGCAGACTTGACTGTGGGAAACACCGGGGCCTCGGCTCCTGGGTCATCCTCAAGCACTTCTATCCGAATCCGTTTTAAAAATAGAGGTTCAGATGTTCAGATGTTCAGAGCGGACGGAACCAACAGTCATTGGCCATTCGAGCTAAGAGTAGTAAAAGTTCAAGTAACCAGTCACTAGCTACTACTGAGTAGCTACTAGCCAAATGAAGTGGCCAAAAGCATACTGTAGTAGTACCAGAGGGGAGAGTCTCCAAGAGCGAGATGGATACGGGTAATGCAAAGATTCCGTAACGAGCTGGTCTGACTTTCCTTCGCCACTCGAGCTCACGGAATACAACTCCTCTTGCGGAAGGTCATGCTGGTTGGGTCAACCGGTGATGGATTTCCTGGCAACGTACACGGAACGTTGCTCTATAAGAGCTACTAATAGTCTACTCCATCCAGTGCAGAGTGCTGTTGCTTCGTTGCGTAAGCACCTTTTGTTGTTCCTGATTGCCTGATTGCTGATTGGAGCAGCGCACCCGGAGCAAACTGGAGGATTGTTGCTTCACGGAATACTCCTCTTGCGGAAGGTCATGCTGGTTGGGTCAACCGGTGATGGATTTCATGGCAACGTACACGGAACGTTGCTCTATGAGCTACTACGCTACTACTGGTAATAGTCTACTCCATCCAGTACTTTGCTGTTGCGTCGGCACCTTTTGTTGTTGCTGATTGGAGCAGCGCACCCGGAGGATTGTTGCTTGTCCGGCTTGGAGACATCACAGCGACACTAACTTCAACAGTTCCGTGTCTTTGATTAAATCAAAGTGTTCCCCACAGATGCCCCTTTGTCACGCTTTCTTTCCAAAAGAGGTCGCCTTTATTGAGTCTTGTAGGAGTCTGGTACTGTCTCTACGTAGAACTATGACATTGAGGGAGGATTTTGGCGACAGCTCCTAAAGCCTGACGTGTCCTTTTACATTTGAGGTGCAGAAGCTTGGAAGCCGTTTCCTCTCTATTTAGCTCACACATTCAAAAGCTCATTCAAGCACAACGCCGAACGGTGTCGATCGGCTGTCACACAAATTTTTCAACTCCTGGTACTCGTGTTTACGGAGCAAAGTGGTCTCTTCCTGGCATCGCCTTTGTTCGAGCTAAACCATCGCTCCCACTGTAGCAGTCAAAACCATAGCTTGCTAGGCTGTCGTGCTTCCGTATAAGTGCGGAAGGCCAACAACAGAGCGTTTCAGAAGTCTCATAGATCACAGAGAGCGAGCACTACACAAAATTTGCCACGGCTGGAACCACGGCTTAAGAAGAGCGCTGTTTTCATCGCCTCAAACAAATCTTTCCAATCTCCTCCTCCCATCCCATCAGAAGGATCACAATGTCCTCTTCTTCCATAATAGCGGCCACCTCGACCGATTCCACCTCCTCTTCTTCTTCCTCTAGTACGCGATCTTCTCCGAAGAAAGTAACCATTGCCATGAGCAGTACCGGTAGCCAGAGCGACGATAATGTCACGGTGGTAACCAATGGCAAGCCACCATCGGAAACCGAAATCACGGCGACCGAATTGGACATGATGGAATCGGGCACCAAGCGACCGAAGGTGCATGGAATCACCAGCGACTTGCCTCGGTTGGTCCTTCGCAATCGTCCCTTTCATCAGTCCTCCAACAAGGTGCACATTCAGCACAACAAGCAGGGATTCAAGATCCTCAAGTTGCTCAAGAGTGATTGGTTCCACGCTATCTTGCGATGGCCCACATCCCGTTTGCTGCTCATGCTCATGAGCATTTGGACCGGAGCCATCTTGTTCTTTGCTGGAGTCTACGTCTGGTACGACAACTTGGATACCACCATTAGCTGTGGGCTTGGCGCGGTTGATGAACCCGTGACATTCGCAGCTTCCTTTGCCTTTTCTCTCGAGACTTGCACTACTGTTGGTAAGTCGGAGTAGGGATTGCTGTAGCTTGGCGTGGAAGTTCCTCCGTTGTATATTCATCGCTCACCTTAATCCTCCTCGTTCTTGTCTGCAGGATACGGCTTGCCACATGGAATCAACTCTTTCTTTGAGGAGGGATGTTCCAGTCTACAAATCATCATCTACTTCCAGATGGCTTGGTCTATGATCTTCAACGCATTTCTCCTCACGTTTCTCTACAACCGATTGGCGCGAAGTAGCCTGCGAGGAGCCCAAGTTATTTGCTCTCAAAAAGCTCTGGTCAGTGTGGTGAATGGTCAAGTCCGCTTTCAAATCCGTCTCTTTGACGCGGACGCCGAGCATCCCGTCGTGGAAGCCCATGTTCGTCTCTATGCCGTCATGAAGCATCGACCCGTACCGCGGCCACTCCGCATGTTGCAACCGGATGACGACCTGGGAGGCATGCTCTTTTTGTCATTTCCCACCGTCATTAGCCACCATGTAGACTTGTACAGTCTCCTCCACCCTCCCACGGCAGCGATGAATATGAATCCTGCTGGTTTGGTATTGCGACAAGCCGATGGAGACACTGCAGGAAGAGACGATGTGATCTGTCCTGTGTGCGGCGAGTCATACGGGACGTTGCATCGATGGAAGAACCACGTTCGATTCCAGCAGATTGTGGAAGCAAAGGACGAGTACCCTATCAGCGGAACACACCTGTCCTTGGACATGGAGCAGATTGAAAATCAAGCGGGTCTCAAGTCTACTCGAGATCTCGTGGAGCTCAAGGACTACTTTGAGAACAACGTCTCCGAGGTCATTTGCGTTGTCGAAGGCATTGATCCGCTGCAATCAGGAACCTTCCAGTCCTTGCAATCCTACCGATTCGAAGACCTTGTCTGGGAGGCCAATTCACAATTCGCCCCCTGTCTTGAAGTGATTGAAGGAAATCGAAGACAACCCCGCAGCTTCCAAGTTGACCTGGATCGCTACCACGACATTGTGCTGGACCCTGAACTTGTCGAGGCAGAAAAGGCTGCTGTAAACGCTGAGAAAACGGGCCCAAAGAAGAAGCACCGTCGTATCAAGTCTTCCTCTCGGCGCTACGGAGATGCCTTGTTCTCTTCGGCGGTTCAGTCTTCTCATGTGCTTCCTCATGACAACGTTTGAATGAGCGCACTGCACACGTGCACTTCTGATTGACTTCCGTGGTGCAAGCACCAGCCTCGCCACCCCCCTTCCGAGAACCAATTATCCTCCGAGGAGTCAAATCCTCTTGTAAGTAAGTACGTGTCGACGGACGATTACTTCCGATGTCCGTCTTTGAACAAATCAGCTTCCAGCTGTGAACCGATAGACTTTGTCCGGTATCAAACACAAAAGAAAGTCATTGAAAACAATACTATAGCATAACGAATAATACAGCCATACATTCTAGGATCAGTATACGACTATAAGGCAGACTGGTGAAGACATTGCGTAGTATAAAGAAGGTTACTATGTGGTTAGAGCGGACCGTGTGCTTCATGGGAGAGGTCAAGTGAGGGCAGACTGTGGAGCGAGCCAGAAAAGAGTACCGGTACGTGGTAGGGCTTGGACCACTTTCCTAGCCATTAGCTGGGAGAGCCATTGGAGAAACCCTGTAGCTTCAGCAGCAAAGAGGCCACAGCAGAAACAACAATAGCAGGCCCCAGGATGGAGAACCATGCGCCCCCTCCCCTCCCTTCTCGTTCATGATGTCTAACGGTTTCGAGTTCCTCAAAAATACTAAGTATTTTGTATTTTTACTTTTTACAAATAGTAAAATAGAAAGAGCGCACCGAAAGATCGAGCAGCGCCATTGGATCGCTCGAGGCTTTGCTTTGCCGTGGTCAGTTTGTTTTCATCGTGCCACTTTTAGTAGTAAGCAACAAATAGATCAACCATGGTGGCCTCTGGAGTGTTCATTACGGACATGCAGGGCAAGTCCATCATCAGCCGTAACTATCGAGGTGACTTTCCCATTTCCAAGGCAATCGAACTGTTTTCCAAGTACCTCGATGAAGTGGACGAGGAAGCCAGAAAGCCAATCTTTCATGTAGATGCCAATGGAGATTTTGAATCCGGCGATGAAGTTGGCATGTCAGGGCCAAGTGGCCAGACTTTTGTCTATGTAGCGGTAAGTGGGAGACAGTGGATTTTACTGAGTTGTGTCGCTGTGGGTTGCTTACGTTTTTTTTTTAATTTTTAAATCGTGACGCCTTTGTTGCCTTTTACGCAACTGTTTCATCGCATTACGATGCCTCCATTATGCAACACGACACAACAATACAGCAAAACAATCTATACATGTGTGCAGTGACAACAAGAAATTCCAATGTGGCTTTGATTTTGACCTTCCTTTTTCGCTTGGGCCAGGTCTTTAAGGACTATTTTGGCTCTTTGGAAGAGGAATCTATTCGAGACAATTTCGTGATCATTTATGAACTCCTCGATGAGACCATGGATCATGGTTTGCCACAGGCACTTGATTCCACTATTCTTCGCTCCTTCATCACACAAGGTGCCAATCGCATGGCAGAAGACTCCAAGTCCAAACCACCAGTCGCGCTCACCAATGCGGTCTCCTGGAGAGCAGAAGGAATTAAACACAAAAAGAATGAAATCTTTTTGGATGTTGTGGAAAAACTCAATTTACTGGTTTCTGCCAATGGAACTGTGTTGCACTCGGAAATCAATGGAGCTGTCAAAATGAAGTCGTTCCTCTCGGGAATGCCAGAATTGAAATTGGGATTGAATGACAAACTCATGTTCGAGGCCACAGGAAGGTCGAATCAGGCGCGAGGAAAATCTGTTGAATTGGAAGATATCAAGTTTCATCAATGTGTTCGGTTGGCCAGGTTTGAGAATGACAGGACCATTTCATTCATTCCACCTGATGGAGAATTTGATCTCATGACCTACCGGTTGAACACGCACGTCAAACCTTTGATTTGGGTTGAAGCGGTGGTTGAACCCCACAAGGGATCACGCATTGAGTACATGATCAAAACCAGATCCCAGTTCAAATCCAGGAGTGTGGCCAATAATGTGGAAATTATCATCCCTGTCCCGCCTGATGTTGACAGCCCTTCCTTCAAATCGAGTGTTGGTTCGGTGACATACCTCCCTGATAAGGATTCCATTGTTTGGAATATCAAGCAGTTCCACGGAGGAAGAGAATATCTCATGCGGGCCCATTTTGGTCTTCCTTCTATCACTGCCAGTGATGTGGACCCAGATGCCAAAAAGAAGGGAGAAAACTCGTGGAAGGCACCCATTCGAGTTCAGTTTGAGATTCCCTACTTCACTGTCAGTGGTATTCAAGTGCGGTATCTGAAGATCATCGAAAGAAGTGGTTACGCAGCTTTGCCCTGGGTGCGCTACATCACTGCCAATGGTGACTATCAGCTGCGAATGAGCTAGCTTGGGCAGGTGGATGAATTTGTTACACGTGCAAAATATTTGGAGTCGAGTCGAGTCATTGCTTTTGAAACTAGTAAAGAAAACCAGGCTTGGTTTCGTAGCTTCTAGCTAGTTGGCCAGTCAATTGTTTACGGGCATGGGCGGCATTCAAGAGAGGTACGGCGTGGTAGTTAATTGGGCTGGGTGCTTCCACACAATGCCTCTACGCCCACGGATAATTCTCTAGAGAGACGTCGTAATACACAAAGAGTCACCTTGTCTACTACCGTCTACCTGTTCCACATTTTCCTTCGAGTGTCTTCCAGGGCTCCTCTCTGGACAGGCCTTCAGTTCGGCGGCGCCTGACAAAGCAGGGACTGCTGTACACGTAGGCACTCAATTGGCAGGACCTGCGAAGCCAACTTGAAAATGTTTAGCATGGAGCACTCGCAGCGCGATGATTTACTATTGCGGACTATGACAAACTTTTACGGGGGGTTTAGAGTAGGGTGGTTGGTTCTCTAGTATTATAGCTGGTGGCCTTTAGTACAGGTAGCGGTATACCTCCCCTTTATAACTAGATTCCAATCACACCACCCACAGGCCACCCTCAGGCCATGGGCACAAAACTCATGCCATCTCCAACGATACTGGACTTTCCTCTTCCATGAGTTCTCCGTTTCCATCTTGAAACTTTGTCGCAGATGAGGCTGGTCCATCAAATTCTTTATCGGTGGCACAAGCATGACTCCGTCCAATAAACACGGAAAAGAGTATCATCAGAACCACCAGAACCACAGAAAAACATATGACCAACGCAATGTTTGGACCTGTGTTGCCGCTTTGATTGTCTCTGAAGAACAAGTCTAATGGTGAATGATGAGACGGATCCTTGCAGGGCTCTGCCCCTAACAAGTATTTTCCGTTCACGCCCGCGGGATCGACAATTCCTCCCACCAATTCACACGTGATACCCAGGCAATAGTAGTTTCGTTCCAACGCTGCCTTGACCTTGGAAAAGTGTGGAGTGACACCTCTACCAACACGCATTGACTCGTAGACAATGTTGGCATCTTCCTTATTGCAGGCGTGCAAGAGCGGAAGCAGGGCAGCAGCATATGTTGCTCCTGTTGCTTGAGATTGTTCCTGCTTTTCACGGTTCGATTTTGCCAGTAACAACTCATTCTCTCGAGCATACAAAATGACCCCTTGCACCAGTGGGACCGTCATGTACGCCGTAAGGAGCCTGACGTGTCTCTTTAGCGACGAGCACGCTCTCATCTTTAGCGCTTCCTGTCCTTGTCGAAAGCTTTGCATCATTTCAAAGTTGACCCTGGCCATGAGCCCATAATGCTGCGACGGGCCGCAGGTTCCAAAATTGAGGCATCGTTCTTGTGCCATAGAGAAGAGAAGGTGACCTCCCTGACCAGCCGTTTTAGCTTTGGATCCAACGTAGAAAGCGACCGCTTTGTCCCACGCGTGCATCATGTCGTCATTGTTACATTCTTGGCCTGCCACAAGGGGAGGCCCGTGATATTCGTCTTCTGTTCCACTGAATATGTCGAGATGATTGTTGCAGGGTCCTTTGGCGGAGCACATGGCCGAGGAGTGGTCCATTTCTCGAATAATGTACATCCAAGTATTGAGATACACCGTACCCAGTGTGATGGCCTGTCGATATCCTAGATCCGTCTTGTAGGTACCACCAAACTGGGCATTTCCACGAGTAAAGTTTGTGGAGGTTCTTTGAAACGCTGCTTGTACCCACTGATCAGCGTAATCATGGACACCGTAGTAGTTGTAGAATTTCTTGTAGACCGAATAGGGACAACCTTCGTTGCAGTCATACATTTTCTCCTTTGCTTTGGTACTGAAACTTTGGATTGTCCTTGCATTGTAGTTATCTTCTAATATCTCGTACTCGTAATCAAAGGATCCCAATTCGTCAATTTCAATCTGCCCCAACCCAACCAGGCCTGTTGGAAAGATGAGGCAAGTTGTTGTGAGAGATGGCCAATTTTTCAGCTACTCATCACTACATGCAGAATGCACTTACATCCTTCTGTGTTTGGTGTGGGATTTCCTCCCACATGACAATTGGTCCAGGTGTCTTGTATGGGAGAGGGATGATAACGGAATTTCAAAGTAGTGCTGCCTGGGGGTGTTTCTTCCAAAAGTTGTCCCAGGACTTCTTTTCCATTTGTCGTATGGCCCAACAACGTAGTTCCTTTTGCGAGAGAAATAGGTAATGGTGACTGCAACGAAAGCAGAGCATACGACTTGGAGAAAGCTCCTTGCGTGTAGATTTTGTAGGCCGCTTCACGGCTTTGGTCCGTTCCCAGAGACATTTGAACATCGAGGGCATGTTGATCCAAATCAATGGCGGCCTATTTTGCGGCACGAGAAGATGGATTAGACGATGTTTCCTTTTTACCATGACTTGTTGCATACAATGAAGCCACCTTCACTTACATCATCCGTCACCGTAGTCAAAGGCTCATACGACAAGAAAAGTTCTTCCGAGAGTGCTCTACGAGAACCGGGAGGGTCACCAGAGCCGCCATACACTTTTGTCGTCAGCAAAGCACATCCAAGCAGCCCATATACCAGCAATGGGCACTGTGATCGATGCCTCCAAGGCATGGTCAGCTGAGGCTACTGTGGCAACTTGGGTAGCTTATTCGATCTGTATGCTCCTTGCTTGCTTGAGTGTTGAGTGTGTTGTCATTCGTCCCTCTCCCTCCGAGGGTGTCCAGAGTGGACGAAAAACCCAAGTCTTCCTCGGGATCGACGAAACTCGTGAACCAATGAAACGTGGATGATTTTACTACAGTACTACCAGGTAGTAGCCAGGTGGTTGCGGTAAACATAGGATATTGAAACATGGACGTGGGAGCACGGGTGCAACGATCGATGGAAAGCTCGATTGCTCGATCACACGAAGCCAAAAAGAAGACCGACGATCGGTAATAAAGGACACCGGAGGTGTAATAGATATACCGGGCGAGCTGAATTAAAAGATGGGCCGGCATACGTAGTAATATTGTTGAAGTTTGGTGTCATTAGATTTTTCCGTCTGACAAAGTGGTGTGGTAGCTTACGGGAGTTTAGAGGTGTGCAACATGAGACATTAGATTTTTCCGTCTGAGAAAGTGGCGTGGTAGCTTACGGGAGTTTAGAGGCGTGCAACATGAGACGTTAGATTTTTCCATCTGAGAAGTGGCGTGGTAGCTTACGGGAGTTTAGAGGCGTACAATGTGAGGCGTTAGATTTTTCCGTCTGAGAAGAAGGGGTGGTAGCTTACGGGAGTTTAGAGGGTGCAACTTGAGACATTAGATTTTTCCATCTGAGAAAGAGGTTGGTAGCTTACGGGAGTTTAGAGATGTGCAACTTGAATCTTAGATTTTTCCATCTGAGGAAGTGGCGTGGTAGCTTACGGGAGTTTAGAGTGTGCAACGTGAGTCATTAGATTTTTCCGTCTGAGAAAGAGGCGTGGTAGCTTACGGGAGTTTAGACGGGTGCAACATGAGACGCTAGATTTTTCCGTCTGAGAAACTAGCGTGGTAGATGTGTTATAGACATGCGGGCGAGTCCGTTAGATGACTGAAATGGAAGCAAGAGAAGTGAACAAGTACAAAGATAAAATAGAAATACCCAACAATCGGGTATCAGGGCACCACACAGGTGTCATAGAAATAATGGGAGCAAGTCTGGTTGGAGGAATCAAGTGGAAGGAAGAAAAGTAAAGAAGTATGAAGATGGAGTACAGTAGCAATGCAAAACAATCAATAAAGAAACTTTGGGGGGTGCAGTGGCGGGGGGCTGAAGTCCAATTTTATGAGAGCTCTAACCCTAAGGATGACCGACCAACCAAAGCAACCACCACCACAATAAACAGGGTGAGAGATCACCGGGGTCTGCCCGGTATATAGAACACTAGCGATGGGCATTCTGATCACTCTCATCCTTCCTTGTCTTGCCATGGTGGTGGAAGCTACCAGCGCTAATGGCGTAATCCGTGGCAGTTCTGGTGGTGCCCTGCGTAAGCACAGAATGTGTGCGATATTGGTGGCCTTTCTAAATGACCCACAATGCCAAAACAAACAAGACGAACGAAAGGTTCAGATTCCCTGCTGGGACAAACCTGGATCTCCTTGTACCGACTACGCTGGCATTTCTGTCAAGGATCTTTATTGTAATGCCGATGGATACCATGAAACAGCCTTTCAAGGAACTGATACTTGCGATGAAACCAAAGGTCAGAAGGAGACTGTGGACATTCTCAAGAATCAATGCACATATGGGATGAAATTCAGTTCTTGCATTCCAGGAGACTGCCACTTTGACGATGATGCTGTCATTGTTGATGGACTGTGGAGTGCTAATGCTGTGGTGGAGGAGGGAACAGCTTTGGTTGTGTAGCTACATGGGGATTTCTGCTGAAGACAGAACCAGACGTCGAAAGATTGGGCCTCAAAATCTCAAATTTGCTGTTTAGAAAAGTACACTTGGACTACACCAACCGCTGTAAAGTGCTAGTCTTCAAAAGAGAACACCATGAAAGCATTCAATGTGGACCTACGGCTACCTTTCCGCCTTCCTTCGCTCAGTAACAGAAAGATTGGGTGGGGGTGCTGCATCTTCATTAGGATGGCTTTCCATAATCTTGGTGCTGTACTGGCTAGTAGCCCCACCGGCACAGTATCACTAGAGGAAACTTACACCGAGCTATTAAGCTTCTAAGAAGACCGTCTCTAGCTAGCTAGCAGCAAGCTTCACACAGCTCACACAGCTTCACACAGCTTCACAGATGCTGGGTATTGGGTAGTCACCAGGGAACTCTAGCATGGGTCACTCTCACTACCGAGCGATGAGTGCTATACATTGCTGCCTGCTTTGCCATCATTACCCCTCCTTTCACTTTCAGAAGGCGTACACGTACAACAACCAAACGGTAGCTCTTCTGCTTCTGGTCGCCAGGTTAGCTAACCGTAGGAAGAAGTATGCCCCACCGCACTGCTGCAGTGCAACCCTTCGTCGCTTGCCCTTTGAATCCTCCCGGAAGTTCCATCGGTGTGATGTCATTGGAATCGGCTATCACCACTTTGGTGAGCTCCGTTGAGTTCGAATCCATGTAACTGTCTCATTCCATGATCAAGGTTCTTCGGTGTATTGCTGCTTAGTAGATCAGATTGGCTTCCGTACAGGGACAGCACAGCTGCCACTGCTGGGTGCCGGACAACATCCGATGCATCCAGTCTGACCAACTGAATCTGTTCTCTAGCTGGATTTCCATGGCCAATTCGTTCAAGACGATGGCATATGTCGGTCAATCCAGAGAGAACATGCGCACCAAGATCACACTGACTCACATCACCGGTGACAACCATGCGTGATCCTGAACCCAACCGGGTCAAAACCATCCGGAGTTGATCCACAGTTGCATTTTGCATCTCATCAGCAACAATATACGAATTGATAAAGGTTCGTCCTCTCATGAAACTGAGTGGTGCTACCTCCAGCTTTCCACTTCCAAGCAATTCACCGATTTTTTCGGGGCCAAACCCAACGCGTTGCAATGAATCATAGATGGGCAAAAGATAGGGGCGGAGTTTTTCTTGCATATCACCAGGAAGATAACCCAGCTCCTCATCAGCGGTCACGGCTGGGCGCGTGATCACGATGCGGTCGACATGTCCTGTTCTCCATTGTTGTACTGCTTGTTGGCAGGCTAGGGCCGTCTTCCCCGTACCAGCCGGTCCCTCGGCCACAATGATTGGTAGAGATGATTGTAGAATTTCGGTGTAGTGAACCTGATTGTCAGTCATCGCCTCCAGTTTTGCGTGACTTCCTTTGCAAAATTCCTCCTCGCTTTCTGTAGAGTCACCATGGTGGAAACTGCCAGCACTACCACGCTTCAATCCAGTGTTGGAGGTTACGTTGTAGATTCGGCAACCTCCACGTTCTTCGGCCAATTTGGTCACTTGAAGATATGGCAAAGACCTGATCCACTGGCTGAATGGCACTCCGTACTGACGCTTGAATTTTGTGGCATCAGAGCCGAGTCGCTTCAAAAGATTTTGATACAATGTATCGCTGTGCATTCCCCGAGGACCCGCTGATGCCAACGCCCTGCTCAACTCCTTCTCCACAAACTTCGGAACTTTGCCGCTGCCTTCAGAAGTGGACGACTTGCATCTTCTGGCAACCCATAATAGATCAGCTATGCCAGCTGTTTGAGTACTGAGGGGCATCCTTTTGAGAATCAAGAGTCTCGTCATGGTACGGTATTGTTTTGATTTCTGATTACTGTGCTTGGTAATGCGTCAACACTAGCCAGGTAGACATGTTGTGATGTGCGTTTGTGGGAGGTCCTGAAGGAAAGATCCAAAGATCGGAAACAACAGCTCTACCACCTTCTAATAGAAGGCCCCAACCGGTACCGCCACCGAATCATCTCTACTTTTCCACAGTTATAATGGTTGAGAAAGATGTTCCTGTTTTGCAAGTCTTTTCTTTAGCACTTATGTGTCGAGACTATTATAATGAATGTAGGGCCATTCGTTTTTCGTTCGGGACGTCGTTCGAATTCATCTCCTCATGACCTTTGTCATCTTCTTTCGCCAAGACTTCTTCGTTCGGCTCTTCTTCGACTTCTTGACTTCTTTGCTAGTCGTAACAGGCAAGGCAGCTACTGGATTCATTCGCAGCAATTCAAACGTGGCATCCAAGCTGAGTTGTGGCTGCTTCAGTACAATGTGAGACATCCATTGTTCCGGGGCAGCATTCATGTCCACAAGGTGCTTCCTTCCAGTACCGTTCAGTTCAAGAAAGACTGCCATTTTGGGATGAAGAGCCATGTCAAACACAGACAATTCACAAAGGGTACAGTTCTGTCCTTGTTGAAAGACATGGAGGAGTTCCTTCTTAGGGTCTGATCTGAATATCTCACGGTGGCCAAAGTACTTTGGAAGGGATTCGTCATCATCTGATTCTTCGTAGTCACTGTCACTATCCTGACGGAAGAATTCGCTAGACGTCATAGCCTCTGTGCGTGCCGTGTGATCTGTTTGATCTAACTGCTTTGCTGCCATCGCTTTGCGTGAGTCGGGATCAACTCCCAGAAGTAGGGTACGCAAGGAAGAGTTGGCCTCCAATCCTCGAGCAACCTGTTTGAGATCTTCATTCACCCAATGGTCCTTCTCTGCATGATGTCCCAACCACATTTTGAGACTCTCAAGTCCAGTTTTGGTTTGAAGGATATCTTGTAGGTCAAGGCCACCACAGGTAAGGTGAGCCCTGCCAAAGGCCATGCGAGCTTTATCTGTGATCTCCAAACTCTTGAGCTTGGGGAGAGATTGAAAGGACTTTACAATTGGTGCTACTGATGCTTCCCTGGGAAGCTCATCACTTTGCAAACACAGTGTGACGTGCTCCAGCGATGGGTGGTTCTGCAGGGGCTGGCAAAGCTTGGCGAGAGGCCCCTCCTTGGAGGTGGTGAGGCCGAACATTTCATCTGAATGGCGTAGCATATAGCCTTTGACCATGAGATGCTTCAGGTTCTTGGCCCTGGTCAAGGCCGAAAACAGTTCCAGAAAGGGCTTGCCATCCTCTTCGTCTGCAGTAAGCTTGGAAAAGTCAATCTTGAGATGGGTCAAGCAAGGCAAACCAAGCAAAGCACTGCTCAATGCACGGATCTGGGTCTTCTCCCAAGCAACTTCTGGGATTTCATAAAAGTTGAACTCAAAGGATGCCAACTCTTGACTTCCAACGCAGATGGTCAAGTGAGTGGCAGATCTATTTGCCATGCATGCCTTCCTCAAAGAATTGAAGCTGTCTTGAGAAGCAGACTCGTAAGGATTAATCACCACAGTCATTTCCTTGGTCCGTTCTCTTTTGAGGACATGGGCAACCTTCTTGAAGTAGCTATTGGCATCCAACAGGACCTCATCATAATCTCTCATCTCATTCAGGGCAGTGCAATATTCGCGGTAGTTCTGAACATACTCGGTTGGATGGCGCAAGAACTCTTTGGGAGAAAACATGGTGGATACTTGAAATGCAGGGATGTTTGTTTCGTTCTCTTTGTAGGTTGAGAGCTTTCAAATGCAAATTGTGAGAAGATGACGAGTGATGATTGTTGGGCAAGCGCTGCTAATGGATTTGGTAGTTGAGCGAAGGTGCTCGAGATTCTTCTTTGAAAGTTTGGTACTTCCTCTACTACTGACTACCGGTACTACAGGTACTTTGCTTGAAGGATCTGAAGTGGCGCGATTTCTGCGTGATATCGAAAAGCTTCAGACAGCTCCAAACCGGCCAATGTGATGAGCTTGGGGTACTCGTATCCTTTGGAAGGCTCAAAGGTCGTGTAGAAATTTAGACATAGAAGACCGTGATAGAAGAGCTGAAGAAAGCTGCTGCCACTTGCCACCTACTACAGGCAGCTTCGTTTCTATTAATTCAAACGCAAGCCGAGCTTCTTGGTACATTTCACACCAGCACTCGTAGAGGTGTACAAGAAAAGCCGGCACGCGTTTGAATCAGATAAATCGAAGCTGCTCGTACACGAGTACACGAGAGACGAGAGATGCAACGAGATGAACTGCACTTGAGCCCTTAATTGATACTTCAAGACGTTCCAATTTCACGACACGACAGTCCCACTTTGATAAGGTACATCCGTTATCCGTCGCTCCAATTGTACGAGACTCTCTACGAGTTTAATAAAGGAAGTGGGTGAGACACGTAGAAAGTGTACCAGCGCTACAGCCCAAAAATGGACCAAAACCGTCTTTAAGCAAATGACTGTCTCAATGTCCGATTGACCAATAAGTAGATTAATACGAAATCGACCTCAAGTACCATTGACTCATAGCATGTTTCCCATACTAACCACATGATTTAACATCACATACCCTATGTTAAACGTGTATTTCATTTTCTTTATACTTTTTGTGAGATAGTTAAATATTTTGGTCCATTATTGAGTCCCGTTAACTCAGAAAATAGAGAGTGAGACAGAAGGTTTCCGATATTGTACTGTTTTTGCTATAGTATCGCTGATGTCTCAAAGCGATGGACCAAAACCGACTTTATACCTGTAGTGCACAAGACAAAAATCAATTACCAGTTTGGGTTCGATTCTTCTCCAGTGTACATGCACCGGTACTGCACCGCTAAACCGATATGTACGTGCATACAATGTCATGAGGCACGGTGCCTGGTACTGTAGTCTATCTGCAAGCGGTCTGTGGCCCTGAATAAGAACTGTCGATGGTCGGTGGTCGGTGGTAATAAGATTGTCCGCTCTCTGAGCCAAAGTAAGTATCCAAAGATTGCCTTCGCGGCCGGATTTTAAAGCACATTGGGTTCGCTGTCCGCCGCTAACAAAAGCATGGGGAAATTTACTATAGACAATACAGTATAGTAAGTGGGATTTTCCCGCAAAGAATGGAGTGCGGTTCGGTCAGTTCCATCCATCGCGATGTGACGAGCAACAACAATCAACCAACAATGGCATTACAACAACGTCTCCACCTCCTCAACCACGGAACCAAACAGCAACCGAGTTGTTGGAATATCTTCCAAGAACAATGATGCAACACACTGCTGATTTCGATTGCTGTTTTGTCGTCATACCAAGGCAAACCATGGTCATGTTACGTTGGGTGTTGGGTGCGGTGATTTCGCTTGATTTTGGTGTTTGGTGGACCGAACCGTATGCATACTAAATACGGGAAACTCCAAAGTGCTGGCATGCTTGTCAGTATCAGTTTTCAGTACTCCCCGTGTTATTTGTTAGTAGCGGATTCGAGGTTGTGAAGTAGATCTTTAGAAGTACGGTACAGTGTGAAGGTTGCAAACCGCAAACTGTCTTCTGCGTAATCTTGCTCTCTGGAGCTGCTCTTCTCATTGATTTCGTCCTTTTTTGTGTTTTAACCATCCACTTTCTTCACTAACTACCCTTTTCCCCCAGTTAGTTCATCCAGCTGGTACAGTATTGTAGTTTGGTACAATGGTAGGTACCCATAACTCTTAAACTATTTTACTATTTTCTTTGTTCCCTTTCCGCCATTGTCTTGAAAAGCCCCAAGCTGCTGGGGAGTTTGGGGCATTTGGGGATAATTGGGCTGTTTGACAAAGTTTTTACCAGTCAGCAAGAGTCAGCCGCGTTCATTCTGTGACACGACTCGACTGGACCGTGAATCGAATCGAAGAACGTGAATTTTATTAAATCGACCTTGCGCTCTCTAGACTACGTAATTATATAAATTATCGTCACTCGATCTGTGACAGCATCTGTGACTGTCCCGCCCGGCTCTCGCCGAAGCTCCCAACCTCCAAGTAAGTGTGCCCTTTTGAAAGGCGAAGTGCCCTTTGTACTGGTACCAGTAGTACCCGAAATGAAGTACCAGTATGCATGCAGAGCTGCATGCAGCTACCGTTACCATACGGTTGGTCTGCTTTGGGCGACAAGCCTTCTACTCTACCGTAGATTTCATCTCCGACGAGCACACGTAGGAACTGGATTAACTCAACAAGTACCTTTTGCCCACCAGCATCCATTGATCAAGCAAACTCTGTCCGTAAACTTCTTGCCTCTAGTCGTTTCATCAACATCAGTTGGCTTAGCCAAAAGTTTCTTCATTGTGGTTGTGATCCACTTGTTGCTTGATGGTTACCGGAGCGTAGCTACTGGTACCTGTGAACAATTCGATTGTAGTTGATGATCATGTCAACTTGACTTGCATTTAACACTTTGTTCGATAGCATGGAGACGGTGGCGAGGAAAGATTCAATTGCTCAGGATTTGCCGAGCACGAAGGACTTTTTGGAATGAGACAGCAAGCCATTGAGCGTACAGAGCGGAGGTCAAGGAACCATTGAATAAGAGTTAGTCGCGACAACTAACTATCAACTCCGCATTAGCTGTCTTCTCGGTCAAAGAAATGGTTTCTCCCTCTTTAATGTGCATGCTTGACCAGGGCCAAAAGAATGATTGAATCACGCCACCCACGCCAAAAGGAAAGCAGTTTGTGTGATTAGCAACAACTGTGCGATACAGCCATCTGAGCAACCTCTTTGACACCAGTACGTGTAGATTGCTTTCAAACATGCTGACTGCGTCATCGATGTTTGGCTTTCTTCGTGGCCTGAACCATAGCAAAAGGTACTGTGTCCCCGAACTGGGGTCCCTTCCCCGTGAAATCACTGTGAAAAGCTTCAAAGTTGCGAAATTTTCCTCCTTACTCATCATCAGTGGTAGAGAATTGCCAAGCGGAACTGAAGGACACGGTACGACTGTAGCGAGAAGAGCAGTTCCAAAATGGAATAAGATCAAAAGGATCCAACTCACGGTTGCAGTTGCTTGGATCGATCAAATTTCGCCTCTAAGCACCAAGAGTGTGCACAGTAATCTTTCCATTATCCAAGGTTGCCTCCACATCAACGGCATCCTCAGTGGTCTCAAACGCAGTTTTGATTTGGTTGCCGAGGGCACCTTCTGGTAAAGGCAAATCCTCAAAGGTATCACCCGACTCTTCTTGCATCAGACTAAACTTCTTATTGTCAGCATCCAGATCAATGACGGAAAACTTGATGGCCTTGGAATGTTTTTTGGAGGGTTTGCCACCACTCCCTGTTGTTCCTCTCAACTCTTCAATCCATTTTAGCATCGTCTTCTTTTGCTTGGTTGTGAAGACGGTGAACGGCATCTTCAACGCATCCTCTAACAATCCTTCTCGATCCTCCAGCGCTACCACATCGTTCTTGCAGTAGAGTTGAATCGTATCAAACAATCTTGAAGTTGCCTTGTCGGTGAACCGCTGGGTCTGATTCTTATGGAGGAATTTGCGAAGCGCAGCGATCTCCTTGGCGGAGCCTTTTGACTTGCCCGTTCCCATGGCCGCGTCATGGAACATAACACATCGGTCCTCGAGTCCTGACATTGTTGGTGGGCGATCTGTTTTGGATTTTGGCTGCCTTTTCCTCTGTTGCACGAGGAGCATGGACCTTGGTTGGCTTCCGCGTTGGCTGTTTGTTGATGGTGAGTGCTGGTTGCGTTGTTGCGGTGAGGTGCGTCTTATAAGCCGGTTGAGCTATCGGTATTGAAGCTTCCTGTCCAAGAGCCCTCAAAACTGTGGGCAATGGCAAAAAAAGGGTAGCTAGTGGGGCTTGACTCAGAGCATCCCACTTGTTATTCCAATGGAAAGTTAGTTTAGTACCCCCGAGCAAAAGTTGTTATTAGTGCTTCTCCAGCCTTGAGTCTCTGAAGGTTAATGTCCTGTTCTCAAATCGGCTTGAAGGCTTAGAGATAAATAGTCGAGAAACTCAAATTTTTGAAGGAGACACTACTATCAGTAAGGCGCTCATTGAGCACTATCCCTTTGGCCCACATACCAGTAGAAGAAGGATAGGCCTAGTAAGGTGTAGGATAGGATGGAACTGCCTCACAAAACAACCACATTCCTGCAGAGAGGATCAAGGAGATTGAATCATTCGATTCTGCGCAAGCGCTCTTTTACACCACCGGTACAACAGATTCTAATCAGCAAGGGAAGAGCAGCAAAGCCTAAACAATTCCTGTCAGGCTAACCTTGGTGAACAGACCTGGATTATCTGCCTCCGCACCATCAATAATAGCCCCTCATCTCTTGGACGTCGTAAACACCTGCCCAAATCCTCTCCGTTGCTCTCAGCCATTATGCCAATACCACATAGACCAAGACACCAAAGGTAGTGTGAACGATAACATTGAGTGAGTCGCCGTCCGAGCAAAGCAATTCTCATTTCCTAGCGTGAGGACTGCAGTCCACGAGCCGCCAACACATGCTTCTCCACAGGTGGCATCTCTCTTTTAACACCATCTTGCCGCATTGGCTCCTTAGGCTGGATAAGACCAAGCAGTAAAGTTAGACGGCAGGAAGCTTCAACCTACCAGTCAAGGAAATGAATTATGAACCCAAACGGGGAGCCAATGTGGTTGTCTTGACGTTTCTGTTGGACTATGCTGCCTTCGCATCTCAACTTTACACTGTGGATCACTGCGCCCTCTGCCAAGCACCTTGTGCTAGCTAGATACCTGTTATTTACGGCGTCAGTCATCGCCGCTGGTGACCAGCAGACTCCGTTGACGACGATGGGTACCGGTACAAGTAGGGGAGGAAGCTGGCTGGACGACGGAACGAACACCCAGCTTCCAGCTGTTCTATAGCGATCGTAACTTTCGGGTTCGGGGTACATGTACCGGTACTCAGGATGGGCAAATACACGTATTTTAAGTTTTGATACGTATAATACGTATAATACTGTATAATACTGTATTATACTGTATTAACCTTTGGTCTGTCTGTCTTCCCATGCACATTATGTGGTGTATTCTATGGTTCGAAATATAGTCTCGTCAACAAGATTGTGAAGATGCTGCTCTATTGCTATGTCAACTTGAGGCTTCTAAAGTCTCTTGAACCATCTGGGGATCAGTCGATGGCAGCTTTTGCGGAGCTCTTACTGCTGATTTAGACCAGTTCTTGGTAGATCTAGGCCTTGATGAGGATGATGCAGCATCTGTAGCCAAGTCTAGTGGGCCTAGGGAGGGTAACTGGATAGCTAAGACCTCCAAAATTAGCAGTAGTAGTTAAATACGTTTGCTGGCTACTTCTTCCTGGAGCGTCCCTCAGTCGTGCAAAACGCCCCTAAAAATAGGGGCAGGTTTGAAATCCACCCCTAAACCACCTTAGAATAGGGGCGGGTTCCAAACCTGTCCCTGAATGGCGAAAACGCCCCTATTTTAGGGGCAGTTTTCTGAAAACTGCCCCTAAAGTTTAGGGGCAGGTTTCAAACCCGCCCCAAACATTAAATGGGACTGTATTCAAAATACATTGAAAACGCCCCTATTTTAGGGGCAGGTTTGAAACCTGCCCCTAAATGACGAAACGCCCCTATTTTAGGGGCGGATTTAGGGGCGGATTCTCCAAAAACGCCCCTATTTTTAGGGGCGGGTTTGAAATCTGCCCCTAATGGAAACCTGCCCCTAAAATCTGCCCCTAATTTTGGGCGTTTTGGATTTAACCACCCACGATTGAGGAACGCTCCTGGGAGTGGTGTGGACATTGCGGTAGGCGGAAGTGCTGTAGATCTGCTGCGAGAGGTTTTGGTCGCCCTCTTCGAAGCTCGCGTCCGAATCTTCCTCCTCACAACGTGAGACCAAACGCTTTCTGCCACCACGCGGAGTCCTCTTTGCAACAGGCTTGGGGGCGGGCTTGGGGGTAGGCTTGGATTCCTTGGAGGGGATGTGGAGGTCAAGCTTGTTGTTGCCATAGAAGAGAATGGTCACAATTCCATTCTTCGTGGCAAGGACAACACAATTGTTGGATGAGGCAGCAATACGATCGACGTTGGGATTGAGTTCCATCACTGCCACCCACTCCTTGTACTCATCAGGCTTCCAGTAATACTTTCCTCCAATGTTGACAACGAAAGTACAGTCCTTACCAAGGTAGCAAGCTTTTGCCACTTCATTGGCTAGCAAGTCTTGGACAGCCTTCGAGAGAGGTTTGATGCGTTCCTGGACAAGGGCATCCATCTCTTTGACACCACGACGCTTATCCTGGTAGATGGTGAAGAGCATCTCCTTGTTGCCGAATTCGGTTGGTTCTGTTGACATGATGATGGTTGCTTCTGCTTTTGGCTGATTGCAGTTTGCAGTTTGTGAGATAATGGATTCGATTCGTCCGATGCTCCGAGTACACAAAAACCGCGGGAAATTTGAATTCAATTGATTTGAATGCAATGCATTGGCAACGTATCGCGAGTGGCGTAACCTATCATCCGACCAACAGGCTAACAACAGCTCTCGGTCACGCACAACAACTAGCTCTCGATCGCAACAACAACTCTCGATAGGATGAATTGGTGCAACCTCTCTGTCACGTCCGGCGATGATGTTGGCTCTAATGCGGCCTTTGTTGCTCATGGCAACATTGTTTGTCCTAAGGGGGTGATCGATGCAAGGCTTGAAGGACCTATTACTCTACAGCGGTTCGGCGAAACTCATCTTTTCTGCCTTGTCATTCACCACGACAACAGCGTCCTGAATAAAGCAGTTTTCTGCCTTCCCCCACCGATGAGATCTGGAAAGTCGACAAGCCTCGAAAAGTCATCAGTCAGCGCTCCAGAATGAAAGCGCTGGAAGTGACTTTCAATCTCCCCGAGAACTGCAGTGAAGGATATGTCAAGCTGATCATTACTCTTCCATGGGATGGAGAGGGTGGAAATGCCATGCGGTTTGGCCAAGCCTGCGTCTTTGCAGCGTCTGTCGTCTGCAAGACTCTCAGTTGAGCCAAGCCCATCATCTAAGCTGAGATCTCCTGCTATGAATATCAGTTGTCTCCGGTTCATTTGGCATCGTGCTTAGTTGCTCCTGAGGAGCCAATAGCTAATCGTCCTTATAGATCGGTAGCTAGTATTTGAAAGTATCGGCTAGCTTAGAGCAAGTAAGATTGCTATAGCCGTTCCCTGATTCAGTTGTAGATCATTCTTCTATGCTAGAGCTCCAGGTAGCAGCCGCAGATTGACCGGGGGCTATTCCATTGCCGATAGTCTAGCTAGTAGCGGTACAGTAGTGTGGTGTTGGAGTGGTGTTGGCTCAATGCTACCGGTATGACTCAGTGGGAGCGAATACAAACAGCTTGCTGTTTTATAGTGGTGGTAATTTATGCTATTTGTGGCCTCCTGCGCTTATAGTACAGTTGTAACCTTGTTAAACCATGCAATAATTTGGGTTCCAGTTTTGGATTCGAAATTTTGATCTGCACCGTGGAGGCGTGGAGACAGCCATCAATCGACACAATATAAAATCAATCACCATGGCGTCACGTCTCTTCTTCTCCGTCTTCCTCGTCGTCATCCTCTTCACTGTCGGCCCCTTCCGTTGACTCCATATCGGTTAGGTTGTCTCGCCGGTAGCTCTTGATAATGTCGAGAAGCGACGGATAATCGTAAGTGATCGGTGGAAGCTTCAAAATTGAACGAATATAATCCTTTCGCTGCGCTGCTGCCGTGGCCTTGTCGACCGAACTGGCTTTTCGCTTCTTTCGTTTTCTCATCTCTTCTGTTTGATTCAGCTTGGCTTGCACATTATCAGAATCCGCAGTGGCGGCGTGGCGGAGGATGTTGAGTGCTTTGTTCTTGAAATCTTTTACGCCCTTTAATCTGGTACTGTCGGCCTTGCCTCGTTGGTGACAGCGCTCTATCGCCTGCTCTGTGTGTTCCTTCATTCCTTGAAGCTTCGCCGAGTCTTCCTTCAGGTGCTGCAGCATATGAACCTTCATTGGAATGGTCGGCATCAGGCGAAACCACAATTCAACCTTCAAATCGATGACTTTGTGGGCGTCGGCAACATCTTCATTGCTCATACTTCCGAACGGTTGATAGCAGTAGTGAGAGACAACATCCATGTACTGGAGGAGCCTCTCCATTCCCTCACAGAATTCTGACACTTCGGTTTTGTTGGCTCGACAATTTCTTTCCTCCTCTGTCAGCGAATCCAAAAAATTGAAAAGAATTGTTTTAATGTCGGCCATGATGGCTGTTGCGTGCCGGAGCAGCCACCGACACTCGTTGCCCTCCATATCTCCACCATGGTAAGAAGAGAGGTGCACATTGTAATCCTTGTTGAGTTTGAACTGGATCTCCATTCAGAGATCCTGCTTTACTTTGCCGTATTCCTTTTTGTTGTCTTCCAAAGTTTTGAGTTGTTTTTTGCTCTTCGTGAGCTCATCCTTGGCTTTCTTGTTTGCACTCACTGCCTTTTTTGCTGCTTCCTTGGCATTGTCTACGATCAACTTTTGAGCGTCGTACTCCTGTTCATGTTGTGTATCTTCGAATTCTATGTCTGGATCACCAAGTAAGTCATTCAATTCTTGCACCATGGCGTTCAGAAACTCTT